AAATATTAATATGTACATAGTAAAATTAATCGAATATATTTTATATCTTATTGTGCGATAGATGTTAATATTTTTATTGTGGTAAATATTAATTAGAGAAACTCTTATAAAATTCTCCCAATACCATATTATCCTACGATTTTAAAAATTTTTTGAATGTATTTCGAGGTATGAATTGAGAAGGTTTTACATAGATATTATATAATTTTTCGAGTTTATACGTAGGAAATTTCTGAAGAGTTATTCGAAATAGAAGATATTTGAGTAGTTCAAGATTTTCGTATCCAACCGCAGAATTCTATCAAAGTTTTGCTGACGCAAAATGACACAGAAAACCGCGTACACGTAACACGACTGACGCGAATTCACTATAGACACCGCATTTTTGCACGACGTGATAATTATTTCCTTCGTCCAATTTTTCTTTTTTTTTTCATCGCAACGCATTTGTCCCCGTTATGCGTTGCTGTCTTATGCCAGCTTCCGTTTCACGCGAGATTCGCTTTCACATAAGTGCGAAACGCCTCTATCTATTCTTACAAACTTACAAACTCGGCTGCAAATATCTTAATACCAGCTTTTTTTAGAGAAAAAAAGATGGATTTCTTGATTAATTAAATATCTGGGAAGACAATATGAATCATCGAACGAAATCTACACACCCCTACAGTTGCGGTTACATATACATATATATAGACTCGACATACAAGCTGCATTTATGACGTGCGTTTTATCAGACGAGATCATTTATCGCGAGAGGTATATCGTGATTGCGGGACCACGCGTGCACACGAATACGTAATGTATATATACGTGTGTTCGACATGCGAATGCGTTCGTGCTAGCAAAGCGGGTCAAGAAGCGTTAGACTTTGGCTTATATTGTGGTAGGTTCTGTCTGGACTGCAACGCGCGTGTGATAATACATATAGCGACTTGACAGATTGCGAACCCGGATCAAGAACCACCACTACACCAGTGTGCAGTATCATTGTTGTCATTCCAAAGTCCGAAATGCCGCGACGTTTCGCGGTCGGTGACGAGGAAGGAAGGGTGTCTCGATCATTAGTCAAACCGATTAGTCGCGATCCGATATACGCTTCCTATTTTCTTCTCTAATGCCAAGGTCGAGAAGGAAGCGCACAGACGCGTAATTATTATTCCGCTGACAGCTATTTCGGGAAGCGCCATCGTTACAATGCGATTATGCGATTTTCTGCTGAGCGGGTATGAATATGAATACCGCCGAGCACGTGGAATATTTCGAGCAAGGTTTTGCCATTGAAAAAATTCAGAGTTACATAATACAACGATCTTGAATATTTTTTACTTCTATATATGTAATCTCATTTTTTTTTTAACTAGAAGTTGGCTGTACGACATAAAAAATCGTCTCATAAATATTAATTTGATACTGAATAAAAAGTCCGTCTTTTTTGAATTATTTAAAATACGGAATCTAATATGGATAATTATATTTAAAGCAGAAGCAAAAGAATTATTGTTTAATAGTATAAATCGGAAGCATTAAAATTTAGCTGTCTTATCTGGCTTGAAAATGAAGATTTACATCGAGCATCAACTTAATATATTAAAAAAAAGAATTATAATACCTGAATATTTAACATGAATGCAAGTCATGTTCGGAAAAAATTGAATATATGTAACCATGTGTTGATTATTCGAATAAAAACGTGACGTATCACATTATTAATTATCTCGTTTTATATATACTTTGCTTTAGAATCGTTTGCTCAAGCAGCGAATTCATTTTTTTTTTTCAAATAATATCCTATCATCTTTCCGGTTGCTTTTCAATGACGAGAATAATATGATAATAAAAGAATGAAAATGATTTTTAATATTAAAAAACGTAGTTAGATGATTAAGGCTTCTTCGAATGATAAAAAACGATAGAGATGACTCGATATTATAAAGTAAAGCAAAAAATCATTCATGAAGCAAGCTATGTAATATAATATATAATATACATATGTACATGTTTAGCACTTTTCCTGTGTGTTTTTTTACACATAATAATCATCATTAAGCCGTGAAATAAATTGTTTCTAACATGTATATGTGCATGCAACAATGCAACTGTATTTTCCTTTACGTATAAATGCACTTGACAAACCAACAAATAAATCGTTGCATAAGATTTCGAAAGCACTACTGTGTTTTCTATGTGATCAAAGATCATAAATCATAAATGATGAAAATTTGTTTTGCTCCGCGATAATAACTTGAAAAATTGAAGATTTAAATAACAGAAAAATATTACATATATATTTTTTATAGGAATAAATAAGTTCAAAGTTTTCATTTTCTATATAAAGTAATCAATTTTAGTAAATATATAAATTAAAAATATAAATTAAAACACAAATGCGAATTTAATAATACACATGCGTGCTAGTATACACACATATACATACATATTGCAAGACGTTAGTATTTATGTATTTTTATGTATGAGATAATTATTAAAATGTGTTGAGCTTTATATAGGATCTTACAATTTGAATATAGAATTTTGTTCACTGATACACTTACTCGTATTACCATATCTCTAATTTTGTCGTCGGGCTAATATTTCGTTAATCTATGCTCACATAAAATATGCTTTTATAATCTAATCTCAAAATAATGTGTGCCACTTTTGCGCTATTTAAAGATTGCTGTGTCATTTTCTTGCATAGTGCTGCGATGTTCTGTTTCTGCAAAATTTTTTTAGGCAATCTAAGCTTTTCCTTAATAAGAATATAGTTCGTTTTTTATACGATCGGAGACATATTTTTTACGAGAGCAAAAATTGATATAAACCTTATCTATAATTTTTTGTTGTTTTTTTATGTCTTTCAAGATTAGATCATATTCGATAAGATCGGGAATTTCCTTGCTGTCGCGTTTTAAACACCACGTGCAATAAACGACTTCTTATAAATGTTCCAAAATTCTAAACGAAATAAAATATGCATAATACAATTATTTTTTATTTAACATTATTGATATTAACCATAGCATAATGTTTGACATGACATATATTTAAAATCTCGAGATATATTCTCATTAGCATATATAATTTTCATATACGCAAATATATATTTAAAAAAATAACTAAAAGATTGAACGCGCGGAAATTTGGGATTCATTTTACATAACCTTGGCATGCTCGACAATTTTTTTACGAGGAACAATTAAATTTTTTTATTATTTTTTTCAACATTTCAACACCTATTTACATTTATAAGTCATGTCGGATTAGGAGTTATCGAAAGACGGAAAGGCATTTGTCTTTTTTATCCGGTGAATTTTATACGTTGGGAATTTTTTTTCTCGGCCAATTTATCAATGTAAATATTTTTCACTATCATACATTGCGGCTTGCATACATTGCAATTTAAAAAATTAAGAAAAGGGAAGTGACTGTATGATTTCGCGCAGTTGGAGAAAAAGATGAAGCAAAACGATATCACGTATCAATTAATTCTATATACTATATATATATATATATATATATATATATATATATATATATATATACTATATATTATAAATTATTCCAAGGACTCGAATCTACGACTTTCGTGCGACACATGCATCTAGTTCTACTACGAGCCGGTTTTACGTGAAGGCACGCACGAGAGTTGATTAAAAGTAAGAATTAAAACATCCACGCGGTGAATTAATAATTAAGATGTTTGCACGAAATGTGACAGTAGTATATGGCAACGATTATTTCAAAATTTTTTAAATTTTAAATTGGTTTTAATTACACTAATATTTTGCTTAATCGATTTGACATTCTTTCTAACAAAAAGTTAATTCCATGATATAAGCTTGATTAAAAACTTTTCCATCATTAAAATTCTTGAGTCATATATTGCTCTGACTTTAATTTAAGAACAATTTTTTGTAAAAATAATTGTATTAACTTATATATCTCTGTATTATGAAAAAATCATTTTAAAGATAAAATATACATATATCTTATTTTTATATAATATAATAAGAAAAAATTCGGAAGATAAATTATATTTATCGTATATAAATTTTTAAAAAATCTAATATCACTAAAGTTTAAAATAATATTTCACATGTAACGAATTAACAAGAATAAAACTACAAAAATGATTTTATATGAAAATATTTTTTCCGCTTATATATGATTTCAACTTTTGTTGATTTTTAATATTTTATTATAGCGATGCAATAAGTGTTCTAATCAAACTTGTAATATGATATTATTTTTCATTTTTTTATAACAAGAAAATATATGCATTAGAATTATTTACAATGCTACATGAATATAAGTATTTTTTAAACATATTTATATATTTTACTTTCACGAATATTCCAGACACAATAACAAAATTCAGAACTTAATATCCTATGATTAGATAATTTTTTTACAGCTGGAGCGTGAGATATTGTGCAAATTAAACACAGGCAAATAAAAATTTGATTTCGTAAATTCCCGCTAACATATAAAATCACAAATATAACGACTATGCGAGTAAATCTTCTAGTTTCGAAATTAGTCGAACGTCGCAATGCAGTTTATCGCTCACATTATGTTATCGTTAAATGCAATTTCTCAAGGTCTACGAAGATTTGCATACTTAACCCCTACTGACCCAGTATCGATGCCGATATCCATGTTATTAAAATCGAGAATCATTCGCGACTACTCGTCAGATGTGGCATAATATTATCGTCGGGAAACATAAATCGATAATCTAACGATATGTAATTCGCCGCGATTTAATTTATGTTCTTTAGCTTTCTTTTCTCTCTTTTTATTTTTTAGTCAGTGCTTCGTACAGCGTATCGCGAGAGGAAGTGTGATTAGAGGATGTATCGGGATATTTTCTTGTCTGGGTTCTGGCATCCGCGTATTTTCGGTACAGGAAGCGACGAAGAAGCGATCGCTCGGCGACTGATCGGAAAGGAGAGAATCTGTATAAAAAGGGACATTCAATTTTTCTTTTGTTGCAGATGCGGATTTGGGAATGGGCGCGGGGGCGGTCGGCGGCCCCGTTCTGAATCTACCTCCGGTTCCGGTCGGAAACGCTGCGTGTGCCATATGCGGCGATCGCGCGACCGGAAAGCACTACGGCGCCGCTTCTTGCGACGGTTGCAAGGGCTTCTTTCGCCGATCCGTCAGAAAGAATCATCAGTACACGTGCAGGTACACTTGTCATCCCCTCGATTTTTTTTCTTTCTTTTGCACCGGAGAATCTTACCACAAAACCGGCTCTTGAAAAAAAATTAAACTGTTTTTTTTTCCTAATTGTGTATCTTACAGGCTTATGAGAAAATGTCAGATCGACAAGGACAAACGAAACCAGTGTAGATACTGTCGATTGCGCAAATGCTTTAGAGCCGGTATGAAGAAGGAGGGTGAGTTTCCGTTTCGTCTATCTCACGCACGTGTTTTACATAGGATAGATGTGCCTGAAAAAATAGTCTTATTTCAAGTCCAATTGAAAAATAATGAAATATATTTAACATATCAAATTGATGTTATTTTTTCTTTCTTTTCTTTTTACTTTGAAGTTTTTGTTTTGCGATGTCCGTTTCTACGTCTGTTTGTCTTCATTTATAGATTTGAAAATATGCGTAGAATTATATGTCGATATTAATTTAACCATATTAATTGTCGCAGCCGTACAAAATGAGAGAGACCGCATAAACAATCGACCACCGAGCAACGAGAATCAGACGGAAAACAGCGGCCCGTCGATGGAAGATTTACTGATGGCTGCGAGGCATATTGGAATGCTTGAGGTCAGTGAGGCTTAACCTCGGCCGAATTGAATATTTATAATTGCAATCCGCTTCTTGTTAATGCGCATGTTGAGAACCTGGTGTGTTATCGCACCGACATGATCGCCGATTTAATTATCGCGGCCTTTTGTTTCCCTCGATATACCTGAGAGATTAGTAATTCCGTACTATCATCAGCCAGAAGGGAGCCCTTGCGAATTCTCTCCTTAAATTCGATAATGGTCAAATCACTTATATGTTATGTTTCATACAGCACTTGTAAAGCGATCTTACGTCACATTAATTATACATATTTTGCAACTTAATGCTAGACATTCGTGGGAGAATTAACGCGTAATTTAAATTCTTGTCTTCAGATTAGTCTTTTTATATTGCGCTATAATCCAAGGTTAGCTATTTAAACTCGTTATGTATTCATAAAAAAAGGAATCAGTATTCCGAGCTCTATTTTCTATGCACTGATCATTACACCGGCGTTAATCTCCTTTATATTTACTTCAGAGATTTCTTTGAATATTTATGCTGCGAATATTTTACATCACACAATAATGCAATACTTTGTATTTCCTCTTTATCTATATATTTATTGAAAAATTATTGCAAGGTAATAATATCAAAATTTCTCTATCTTAATATATAATATTTCTGCGTATTAGCTCTTCGATGTATGTATATTTGATTTTCTTTAACAATCGCAATGTCACGATGACGTATGATTAACAGCTGGGTAATCCGAAAGAAGACGTCGATCCTAGCACGAAGCGGATAGCTGGCTTAAACGACGTGTGCGACAGTATGAAGGAGCAATTGCTGATCCTGATCGAGTGGGCCAAATGCATCAAGGAATTTGAGACGCTTCCGCTGGACGACAAAGTCGCGTTGTTGAGAGCCCATGCAGGCGAGCATCTGCTGTTAGGGGTGGCGAGACGCAGCCAGATACATAAATTAACGGACGTGCTATTGCTTGGCAACGATTGCATCATCATGAGAAACTATCCTGGTATGTAAAATCGGTGGATTTATCGCGGTTGCACGATGTAGCTTCTTGATTTTTTCTTTTCCCTTTTCTCGAACGAAGCAAGCCGCTGTTAAACACAGAACTCTGAACAAATATGAACGTTAATTAACGAGATGTCTTTCAGCACCTTCGGACGTCTGTCGTCTGCCTTTTCGAGATTTATATTGTATAGAAGGCTATGCTTATCATGATGATTCATAACTCTGTGTTTGGCTCCGACTTGCTCCGATCATTCTTATTCATAACACTTATCTGTGTTGTGCGTTTCGGCTTTACTAAATAACGACATTAGATCTCATTGTGTGGGAACGTGTGTGGATTACGCTTGAAAGTTCTCTGAGACTGGGATCTCCTTTTTGGACGAGTATATGCGAGGTGAATGTTAGGTAAACCCTGACCAGTTTTCTTCTCGCGCACGTTGCGCAAAAGTCTCATCTCATTGCGGTTCAAAGACGCGTAACGTTAAATGCTATTTATGTATGCGGTATGTAAAAATATATAATAAAAGAATAATAATAAAATAATAATATAATAACAATAATAAAATTAAAAGTACGAGATATTCACGAAGAGAGAATCGCCTGGGAGATAACAACTCATGAACGAATCACATTTTTTTCTTGAGAATACAAATCCTAATCTGTAAAGAGCCAATATTTCCAAGTATAAATTGCGTTTAAAATATGTGGAACATTCCATAGAGCACGGATATCAGCACAAGTGGCGTCTTATCGAACAAACCAAGATATCTCGACTGTCTCACGTTGACAAAACCCGTCGATATTGAAGCGATGTCTTTTGCGGCCTGTCACCATTTTTTTTCGAGATTCGAGCGTATGTATACGTGAAAGAGAGCCTCTAAATAGCCGATTCGACGACGGCCTTCACCTTTTTGCTTACGTAATTTCGTCGTCCACATGTGCGGATACCGCACTCGTTCGTCGCTAAATAGCTGCTTACTGGACGCTTCCTCTATATCTCGTTATCGCGTTTCGTTGTAATTTCGTAAAAATCGTAACCGTGTTTTATCTTAGTCAATGAGTATTAAAAGAAAAATTTTTTGAACATACAAAAATTATTTGCTCGAGAACCATGGATTGTTTTCGTTGATGAATATTTTTTTCTCACTATATATGTATATGTAAGATACGCGCGTGTCACAAAACGATTTTATATAATATTTTATCAACACAAATACGTAGGTCTTTCCTCACATATCGGATTTACCTGGTGAGAATTTCTTGCATGTGGATTTTGGAATTCTTTTTTTTATTTCCCTTCTTTAGAAAAAACGTCCTTTCTGCACATTATAATAATTTATATTTAATATCTGAATTATATATTATAATTGATATTTAGATATATTATGATTGATATTTATATATGCTTTTATATAACTCATGCAAATTTTATTTTTATGAAATCGAATATTTAGTTCTTACTAATCATTTTATGAAAATTTATTTTTATTTATCAAGAATGCAAATTCAAGAATTATGTTTCTTTATAATTAATTTTATTCGAGTACTTGCATCTCTTTCCCTCTTTCTCTCTCTCTCTCTCTCTCTCCTTCTTTCTTTCTTTTTCTCTCGATGCAAATACATGTTTACTTGTCAATTTTTAATTAACAAGTGTGTGTATATGTGATGTGTATTAATTTAATTTTCGGTAAATTGGATAACTACGACAAGATAGGTGATCTCTAATTGTAATATTTTTCTTATTTTTTTAATTTACTACTACATTATTGTTATGAAGAAAGCGTCAGCAAATTGTATTATACTAATATGAATATATGACAAATAATTTAAAAAAACGCTTTGTTGTGTCACCCATCTTGTCACTAAGTTAATCATATTTTATTATGTAGAACATTTTACGGCAGAATATTATCTTTTTGTGATTAACTTTACTCTTAATGGAAGGATTTGAAGATCACACGACAAGACGACTCGTTCAGTTACGAGAAACTTTTGTAATATTTTGCTACGAAAAATATTGATGGATTCAAATCGGTGTCAGCAATATTATATTTATTTCATAAATAATGCATCGCAATAAACAATTAATAACTGGACGTTTCGTTTATGTGTGTGCACGTCTTTGGGGCGTAGATAGTTGACTGAGTCCGGAATTTATGTTGTGTGCTATTCTAAAATGCATGCCGGAGAGAAGTGAGTGAATACCGATGTTATTTGCAAAATGTTTTTGTTTTTCACCGGACTCAGTTTCTACGTTCACGATAAAATACGAATGGTATAATCCCCGTCTATCAGTAATATCGTTGCAATTCACAGAAGGGAACAATCAGCAGGACTTAGATATCAGCAAGGTTGGCGTTAGAGTGATGGATGAACTGGTGGAACCGTTGAAGAAGATTAAGATCGATGATACAGAGTTTGCTTGTCTCAAAGCAATCGTGTTCTTTGATCCGAGTAAGTGTATCTCCATTTAAAATCCGAAAGACTTACGTCCGCGCGCAACAATTTAATAAAATCGCAATTTGCATATGAAGTTATATATCTGAATACAACAGAATAGAAAAGGATTGCATGCGATAGACGTAAATGTATTCCGTTAATATAGATCGAATGCGATTCGCTTGCAATAATCCTTCTCGATCAATTCTATCTCGTTGAGGCAATCACGCCTCGCGGGTCCGCCAAGCTTTCATAAACAACGTAAATCATCGGTTATTTATAGGTATCAGCGATAAGACGTTAAAAATTGCGTGTCCCAATTCGTATCTGTTTCGCGTCAAGATTTGTGATAATTCCATTTCATTAATGTCGCACTGTATATCTCTCTTTGTTCAATTAATTTATTAACAATTAGCGCAATTTGCATCGCGAATGATTATTATGGAATCGGAGAACGAAGATCTCATCTCGTCGTTATATATTCATGTTTATGAATTTTTTTCTCTTTGCAGACGCGAAAGGTTTAAGCAATTCAGATTCGATCAGGACCTTGCGCAAAAACATCCAGATAAAACTTGAGAATTATATCAGCGATTATCGCTGTCACCTCACGGGACACTTTGGCGATATTCTGCTGCTGTTACCGGCTCTGCAGTCTATCTCGTGGCAGATGATCGAGCAGATACAATTCGTCAAGCTATTCGGGATGGCGCATATCGACAATCTGCTTCAAGAAATATTCTTCGGCACTACATCGGAGGTAAATGACACCATGACGTCCATACCGATCTCGAATACCGCTCCGGGCAGCTACATGAGTAGCAACGAGAGTCCTACCAGTCCCTTGACGCCGGCCAATACCGGCAACCTCAGTCCGCAAACCGATCAAATGCCCGTCATGATCCTGAGGGATTTGGCGCCGAACCAGGATTTCAGGTTCTTCAAACAGGAACCAAGTCTCGAGCCCGAGACAAGTTTCTGACTAGATTGGCCATAGAGCTGAACCTGCTGCTGACTAGCCAATGATGTTCTGCTCAAACAATTGCTCAAGTTCTAGCATACATTACGTTACCATAGCATCGAATTATCGATGATATTAAGGAAAAAATAATATTTTGATATATTGCAACGTGTGAGAAAAATAAAGTTTGAATTCGACATGTTGCAATACACGAAGTGAACGAATTTCAGGAGCAGGATTTTTCACCAAATACGGGATATCAAACAGTAATATACATACGTCATTTGTTAAACAATTGAGACGAATTAATTGATTTTGCATTGACGTAAAAAAAAACAAAAAAAAAAGACTAATGCTGTTGCAGGACATCTTTGTTGCATACTGTATGGATTTGCCGTATTCGATGAAAAAATTTTACCATCGTACCACTTAAATGTCCAGAGTTTATACAAATGGACAACGCAGCATGTTGTATATATTTTTGATGGGAAATTGATCAGTTTACCGATATATATTTTTTACCGATAGTCGCGATTCGAAATAAATCTCGCCCCTGTACAAATAACGATTGATCGCCGACCAAGAGATCGTCGATATAAATGTGATAAGATCATATCTTGCCACCATTAGTACTACTGTTGCGACAGTATTTGTGCTGTTTTTTAAAATATGAATCAGGATCAAAAAGCGAGGCAAACAAAACATATATGTGTCTAATATAATAAGTCATGCAATTATGACAATAATTAAATTAAACATAAGACTTAAAATCGATAAAATTATGTAATTTTTTTTTGTTAAAATGTTTACAAAAAAATCCTTACCCATAATTGAATGTCACATTTTCATTGTCACGAATTATACATAGAAATCGATTTTTTATACGTGTCTTACGATATCAGAATCCGAATTCAATCAAGTAATATCAATTTTAGTTTCTAATTTGATATGAAATAGGAAGTAAAATTATATCCGATATTATTACAGGAATATATGGTTACAAATATGTCGAATTAAATAAGAATATGCAGAGATAATCTGCATCGATATTATGAGAAATGTTGTACTGTTCTGCTCAATTTGCGAATGGAAATAATGTTATTCTAATTCGTGATGTAATAATGTAAATAGCATGATGCAATAACGTATAATATATATATATAAAACATTCCAAATATAGATGTATCGATGTTATAAGTTATAATAAGCATTAATGTAAATATTCCTAAAATAACTGATGGGATACGCACGCTAAATGTAATAATCTAGCGTAAATTCCCTGCAAAATGAAAAATGCGCCATTGCAATGCAATTTATCGTTAGCAGCATAGTGATATAAGAAAGGGCCCGCGCATTAGCCGTTTTGCACGTGCATACGTCGAACTGTCAGTAAACCGGTACAGCAGCTGTGCCTGATCAAGATGGCTAGTGCACTTTATTGTGGTGTTAGGTTTTAGCAAAGTGTCTACATAGACATATATTATGGCCGGATAAAAAGCAATAACATAGTAATCAGGTAAAAACAGTAATGTTAACGATATAAGAAATGAATATGAAAATCAATTTAATGTAATATATACAATAGGATCGGAAGAATCGCACATCGAAATAGAAATAATTTCTTGTATAAAAATAAAATCTAATATATAATAGTATAGACATATAAAACATTTTAAGAAATTAAAAAGAATAGTTTTGATATTTTTATATAATTTTTTATCAAATTAAATTATTTTAAATTATATCTTACTAAAAAAAAGATGTTGCACTTCTATATTTATCATGGGTATTTAAAATTAATTTTTTGAAAATAAATTTTTCGTAGAAAAAAATTCAACATTTTTCATTAATTTTTGTGCAAGGAATTCGATTATATTGCGATTTCCAATCCACTCTATGTTACTCATTGATCATATGCGGATTTGTGTTATAATCATATAGTAATCGAAAATAATTTTTAATTTTTATTATAATTTTGCGCAAATATGACGACATAAAATAACAATTTTTCTTCATTTTGAAAATATTCAACATCTCTAATAAAATATTGAATCTTAATTTTAAAAAATTTAAATGTAACATATACAGGTCAGATAATTTAAAATCTACAATTAAATCTGTAATATACAAACTGTCAAAACACTGCAATTTATGACTTTAATGTTATTTTTTGCTTTTAAATTTTTTAAATTTTATGATTTAATTTTCCTCAACAACAATAATTAAATGTCATATTTGGCATAATTAAATTTCGAATAATTCCTCATGACATATTCTGTGTCTCACACATTACATTTCTATATATAAAGTTTCAACAATATGTATAGTACTATATAAAGACATAATTATAATATAAGTCGTAGATTTTACTGTAATAAGTCCGGCGAATATATTTTCTATTTTTGTACGAAAAAGAGTTTAAGTAACATTAACGTTTAGGATATAAGATATATAATAGTGCAACAAAAGAAACAATTATTATGATTAACAATGAAATGATATTCCATTTGAGAAGTGTAACATATTAGTGTTTTATTGTATATATCTGCTAAGATATATAGTTAACAATTGTTAGTCGTGGGTTGTGAAATAGATATTACCACCTTTTGTTGCACGATTTTTTTTATACATTGTTAACAGTTCGAACGTCGACTGATTCCAAGATGTGTAAATAAAATTTATTATTTGTTATTTAATAAATAGAACTCATGTAGATATTCTTATATAAAGGGATATGTAGTTTTCACATATAAGATAATAAATTTTATTTAATATTATAATATAAATATAAATGTCTCATTCTCACATTGTGCAATAATCTGTATAAAATGTTGCATTACGTTGCTCAAGTATTGTAATTATTAGACTTTAATATTATTCTATTACAAATTTTCTATAATTTTAATTAAGTTCATAATCTGTTCGTTTACGTTTCTTAAGATTTACTGCACTCTGTGAAGTTTCGATAACACTCGAACCTTTCCTTAAATAATCATTTAATTGTAACTTGGCTTTCCTACCTGCAAGAAATAAATCTCTCTCTAATCTTGGTAGTAAACTATTAAGTGTAGGGTCGGAAACAGGATTTTGCGCCCAGTCCATAACTAATCTAAATCGTGATCTGAAGGTCTAAAAAGTAAAACGTATAATTGAGTAATCATGTATGTATTAATTAACTAATCTCATTTAAAGTCAATATGAGATTACTTACCAGTAATAAACTGTCAATTATCATTTCACTATCACGATTATTGAATTTTTTTAAGTACATTCCTAGTTCATAATAATATGGATTCCATTTATTTAGTACAACGGTACAAGCATCTGCTAATAGAATTTCCCTGTAGATAAAAGAAACCAGTTATTACAGTTTCTTCAAGTAAAAGTCTTATTAGAAACTAATTCTACTACATGTATACTTTTAAATGATTGAAAATTGTAATTTAAATTAATTTGAATAAAAGTGGATAAAAGAATTTGTTAATGTTGATTTCTCAACACCTTTAATAGTTTATTGCCAAGATTAAAAATAGGCTTTTTCATAATAGCAGAAAGATCAAATCACATAAATGTGAATAGGCAAAGAGAGAATTTCAACTTAATAAAACTTCATAGAATAGTAAATCTTAAGTAATGCAAGTTAATAAATTATAAACTTCTATGTACCTGTAGCCTTCCTTGTATGTTTTAGGTATGTCTACACTGACTATTGATTCTCTTGCTATATTCAGCGGCTGTGCCAGCCACAGTGGAAGCTCCAACTTTGTACCAATTTTTAAATCCTCAGATTCAGAGGACAGATCAAGGAAACCTAAGAGTCATAATAAAAATAATAATAATAATACAAATTTCTTAGTTTGTAAATAAAAAAATATAAAGAATAATATAACGAATAAGAATTAGATAAAGCTGCTATTCTTATTTGGCAAACTTTGTATAAATAAATTTAAAAGATTAATTAATAACTATATAATACAGAGAAATTTATTTCTTTTAAAAATATATTTAAAAAATTTTTATTATTACATTATTATAATAATACTCTATATATAAGATTTATAAATTATTCTTTGTATCTTAACAATAACAATAGATAAAAACCTACCCAAACGAGGTAACGTAACCTCGACTTTGCACGATATTCGTTCTTCAGTACACAAAATATCTGTCAAGGAAAAATAATCAGGCATATAACTGTGGGATAATGTCGCCATTTAAAAAAAAAAAAAGGTTTAGAAGTTTCGTCGAAGTTGAGATAATTTTAAATAAACAACCGTATTTTACACCTGTTGCATTCCTACGTATTTCAGTGCTGACACAACACAAGATATTCAAAAATCAGAATTGCCACCTCTAATCTAACTTATCGACTAGTTCCAACATTTGTCGCAAGCAAGAGAGCGCTGTCAATTTTTCAAGTTACACAAATCTTCGTAAGAACACCAATCTTTAGTATCACTTTATCGATGGTTCGAGTTTGTACGTTAGCGTTTGTGATTTTGTCAATGATTAACACTTGCGCGTGCAAATTAATTATCTGAAAAATTAGAAATGAGAAAGCCTCCTTTACGGACACTTTAACGGACGAGTTTTAGGGGACAGAGAAACGAAACTCCTCAAATTCGGCAACGAAAGGTATATCGCATTATTAGATATTATATGCGCTATTTTTCTAACCTATAAGTTCTCTTTACAAGTGATAATAATTGCGTTTTTGATACTATAATAGCTTTTTAATTTAATTACGATATGTGTCAAGATGGTCAAGATTTTACGTTTTATCAAAAATTATTTGCAATTTTTATCGTTTTTTTTTTATTATAAATTGGCGGTGATTTTCTTGTTCATATGAATGCAATAAATTTACAAATTTTATTCTGCATTTATCTTAATATAAATTAAATTGTATTTATACTCTTATACGCGTATTAATTCATACGAACAAATTTAAGAAACATAATATGAAAGGCTTTGCTTTTCTGTGAATGAAAGTTTTTAGAGCGGCTTAATATGATTACATTACGTGGAAAACTAAAAAGGACAATGATATAACAAATTCAAAGAACAACAATAGACGAGTTTCAATACGTGATAAATTACTTATTAAAGAGGTAATTTACTATGAGATTTGATATTTTTTATATATTAATTTGTTACACAAGTTTTGAAGTTTGCAATTTATACATGGATTATTTCACTTAGGTGCAAGAGATGGAACAGACATTGCCAATAACTTGTCAAGTCACATTCAAAGACCCACATTGTCTACATGAATTTATACTGTTAATTATACCAGATGAAGGATACTGGGTCGGTGGTCATTTTTATTTTCAAATTTATATAACAGAGGAATATAACATGGCGGTAATTCTATGTCTACAATTTTATGTGACATGGCAATGTTAAGTATAAATACTTTTGTATCTTAAACCGCACATCTTTCAGCCCCCAGTAGTGAAATGCTTAACAAAATTATGGCATCCTAATATAAGTGAGGATGGTGATGTATGTCTTTCCATTTTAAGACAGAGTAGCATTGATGGATTAGGATGGGCACCAACTCGCAAACTAAAAGACGTTGTATGGGGTATAAATTCTCTCTTCACTGTATGTATACAAGTATTTTCTGCTGCATCCAATGCAGTAAATGTCAACATGATTACATTGCATATATTCTCTATAATTACGTTTTTTTTTAGGATCTCTTAAATTTTGACGATCCTTTAAACAGAGATGCAGCAGATTTATTTATTAAGGACAAAGAATCCTTTCGAAGTAAAGTTAAAGATTATGTAATGCAATATGCAAATAGATGATTTATATTGTAACGTTTTAAAGCAAGACTAATTATGTACATTTATCATATTGGTTTGATGCCCTTTTTGAGTAAACGAGTTAAAAACTTGCTCAAATCTGCTTTAGATGGATATAATTTAATTCAATTTAATATTTTGCTAGTCTTCTTTTGCCTGAAAGAGATTACTATAATTTTCAATTTTATATAATTAAATTTTCGGGTTGTTATCGAGTGGAATTATATTCATATACACATTATAATCTCTCTATATATATATGAAGAAATTGTAAATGTATAAACAGGATTAAAAATGCATCACATGTACAATAATATTCTTTCTCTCCATGAGACATAATGTAATGTTTCATCAGGACATCTGTAAATAAAATGGGTGTTTAATAATACTCAAATCGCGTTGTAGTTTATGTCCTTTGTAAAAAAAAAAGTGTTTATACATGTATATTCAAACTATCAAATATAATTTAATAAGATATTCTAATAGTGTGTACAGGGCAGGCTTTTTTTAATGCGTGCAGTTATTTCATCAAATATTTATTTATAATTTTCGTACAACGCGTAATCGAAATTTTTTGCTTAATTTCAAAAAATTCGATTTGCACTTTGACTCGTTGAAATGTATAGGCAACAATTCATTTGTATTATACTCGTCGAATTAACGGACGATTGAGAAACTTATCGTCTTACATGGGTGTCGACGGAATTCGTCGGCGAAGTATCAACGATATATCTTTATATAATTAATTAATTACAAGTTGTAACAAATAAATTATAACAAAAGAGAAAACGCAAGAGACGAGAATCTCTCACGTTTCTCATCATTTCTTCTCGCTGTCCAGACACGTACGCGAGACGAAATGTTTTTGCATGGTGTACGTGTGTCTATAAATATAAATAAAAAATCGCAGGTTTATTGTTAGAACGTGGTTAGCAACTCTTCTTGTATGCTGGTCGACCTAATGAGCTTCTGTTTCGAACCCAATAAACTCTCGCTCGCTAGGTTTTCAGAAGCTAGCTTCAATTTTTCTTCGTGATACTTTTCGTTATACTCCTTTAATCTGTTGCCCAGAAACACAGCCCTCTCGCGTTTCTTGATCATGTATTCGGTTGGTAATAGCCACCTATGCTCGTGGCATTCTTCTGCCATCGGTCTTTTACTGAAAAAATTAATGTGATTTTTTTAATACAGAATTTTTGTTCACACACGTACACACAAATTTTATATTTAATATTAAGTACAATTATACAGTTGCAATCCCACATCATAAAATTAAATATTGTAAATAATTGTATTAATCTTGTAAAAATTTTATCTCAAGTCAATTAATATGAAAAAATTTATTGGCATGCCATAAAGAATTCGACATCATGAAAACATTTAGCGATGGATATTAACAAAAGTCTGGAAAGAAAAGACTGAAGATTTTCAACTTAACTACCAACCTTGGCGCGCGTTTGAAGACCAGCATGAGAAATCTGGTAGCCTCCTGACTAAGCTCTTTAAAAAGATATTCGAATCTGTATCTGACGAAGGATATGTTCTGCCTGGTCTCCGTCGTGTTCTGGCCGGCGAAGGGAGAGACCCCGGAGAGCAACACGTAGGTCAACACGCCGACCATCCATATATCCGTCTGCGGGTAGACCGGCTCTTCGTTGTAAAGCTCAGGCGATCTATACTCATGATGACCCACTTGCTCAGGCACTATCGTGCCTAGTCGACTAACTCGATGAGCGGACCCCATGTCGACCAGCTTCACCTGCACCGATCTCACGGACGACATGACGATGTTATCCGGCTGGATGTCCAGGTGACAGTAGCCGCGCCAGTGCAAATATTGCAGACCGTCGAGGATCTGCGTGACGGCGTTCGCCACGCAGTTCTCCGTGTATTCGTGTCGGCTGGAGAAGTACGTGAGTATGTCGGCACCCTGGAGCTTCTCCATGATGAATACCGCAACCGGAGAACCGGAGGGTGTCTTGTAGGCCATCTCCAACATGGCTATTCGCTCGTGTCGCAGCGAACGCAGTACCTCGTATTCCCGCATCACCTGTTCTTCTGTATTGATGTTCAGCTCCAGGATCTTGGCGATTACCACTCGATCTGTGCTCTTGTCTACGCCCTTTGCTACAACGGAGAACTGACCGCGCGACAATTCGGAGATGAAGCTGTACTTGGTAGATAGTTGCGTAGACTCCACCGACCACTCGATTGGATGCTCTTCCACGGAGTAATCTATGTGAGGTCTGTCTTCTTCTAAGACGATCTCCTGGCCAGCTTCGGTCAACTCCTGAAGATGCCTCATCGCTCGTGTGATCTGCACCTTCAAGCAACCCGGTGGTCGCGTTTTGATCAACTTCGACGGGATGCCCTTCTCGCTCCAGCCTATACGATTGCGCGCCGCCAGACGGAAGTTGTAGCTCGTGTCTTGCTTCAGGTCACGCACCAGGTAGAACTCGTGATCGATGTTGGAAGCGACGTCTATCCAGGCGATCGAGTCACCTTCCTTATACTGAAGATTATAGCACAGCACGGGCGAATTGCCATCGTACTTCGGTTGCTTCCATCGCAGAAGGACTTCGGTATCCGAAACATCGGAAGCCTGGAAAATCGAAGATAATAATTTAATGACAAGAAACATCATTTTGATATATAGATTAATTTAATTAATTTTTCATCTATTTTCATCCCAGACAAAATGTCTAAAATAGGGACATAAGACATCTTAAAGGAGTTATTAAGATGTGTTTTAGATATCATATTAAAATATGTCTTTAAGACGTCTTATGGCCCGTTTTTAGACGTGATGTTGTTTGGGACATCTCTTAAAAATTCGTTCAATTATAATGTATTATACCTCTGGAGAATCCGGACCAAAAGGCACCGTCGCCAGCAACACCCTGGTTCTAACAACTGTTTGTCCTATAGGGTTCCTCGCCACGACCTTGTATATCCCGATGTCATGCTCCTTCGTAGGATTAAAACTGAGTATCGACCTCCCATCGGTGTCTTCTGTCACTTTAATTCTATTGTTCACCTGGACGACTATGTCATTCTTAAACCATTGTATCAGTGGTTTCGGATTTCCCACTGCTAGACAGACGAGCTGAGCCGGTTTTCCCTCCTCGATCGGACAGATTTGTGGTTTCTCGCGGAAGAACGGAGGCTGGCCCTCCTTCTTTGACCCGATTATCGCCTCGGCTTCGGCGTAACTATCCAGCCGAGTGCCTAGCTCATTCCTTAGACGTCTAAGCGTATATGTATCCGCCGATCCATAACGATTGATGCGCTCCCTCCTCTCATCGTCGATCTCCTCGTCCATAACGTCCGTGAATCGACGACGTTCCCTTATGATGGGTGTCTAATAAAACCGAAAATTAGAAAATAATTTTATAAAATGTATTGCGCAAGAGAGTTTTACATAATTAGGCTTTAAGTTAGTTATTTGATTTCTCAATGTTCTTTGTAGTCTCTTTTCACGTACCCTCCAATCATAACCATTGTCATCGGCAATGGAGCGTGAGAATCCGGGACTGCGATTACACGCGACTTTCATGTATTCACGTAATCGTACAGGGAAATCGGTGTCTCGCAGCTGAAGAAGATACGTGTCTGGACCATTTTGATAACTATAAAATAATTTAAAGTTTAAACACATATCCTGGAAATCTGATGAAAAAGTTATGTAAAATCTTTTTATTATAATTTTATTTCAAAAAATAATATTAAATTCTTCTAATCCGTGAAAAAGATATATAAATACTCTATGAATTATATAGATATTATTTATAGAGATATCAAATTTTTGATATTAGAATTGGATATAATTATTCTATCTGATGTTTTCTTACTGGCTTTCGCTCGTGATAATCCCGATTTCTGTATCGATCGGTTCTCTGGATGGTATTTGATTCTCCCATGTCCTGGGAGAACGTTTCTTCGGACTTCTCTCGACGCTGGGTTCGGGTGTGAATTTATGTCCGGGTGGATATACCATTCGCGATGGATGCTCGAATGCTGTCTCCAGTTTGCGTCGACGATACCACGTGCGACACGAAGCATTACTATACCAATCGCTATAAAAATATATCTCATTTACAATGTAATTCTTAATCATATTAATTTTATAATATAGACATATTTCATGGATCTTATTTTACAGCATGTCTTACAAAAATACATATAATTATATAATTCTTTTTTCTTTTATAAATTTTATCCTGATTAAAAGAAGTCACTATATTACATCTCTATGAGATCATAAATTACTTTTACAAAATTAATTTCAATTATAAAATTAATTTTTATTTTTAATATGTAATCAAAAGGTCGTATATAATATTTATTTACCGATAAAGTTTGTAATAATTTTTCAGGTTCTCAGAAGGTATTCTGTAAAGCTCCGACGGCGAGTTATCAATATAATTGAACCACGGATGAGCCAAAGCAGCCTTGACGTCCAGCCTATTGTCGACATTGTATCGCAGTAAACTATGTATAAAGTCCTGCGCTTCGTTTGAGATGTTCTTCCATCGCTCGTCGAAATCCCATCTGCCTTCCCTGATCTTCCTCAACGTCTCTCTGTCGTTCGCGCCTCTGAACGGTGAAATTCCCGACAGCAAAATGTAAGTAATTATACCAACAGACCACATATCCGCGGGGTAGCTGACGCCCTCGTTATTAGTTACTTCCGGTGCGACATATTCCGGCATACCGTATGCCAAGGTCATCAGCTTTGCCTGCAAAATTCTGCGGGCGAGTCCGAAATCTCCGATCTTCAGGTCATCTCCATTTGCGTGCGAGATTAATAGATCGCCAAGCTAAATAAAATAAGAGAAAGAACATTTTTCCCATTAATAAATTATTAGTAAAAAGTAATGACTATTGATTAAATAAATCTAAATTTTATCTTTGCTCCAATAATATAAAGAGAAATCAATTACAGATCATTGAATATATAAAATATATTTTCCCTTGTTTGAAAGGCAATTTAAAAAAAAAAATAATTTTTTAAACAATTTACCGTCAGACTAAGATGCGCGTAATGATTATCGTGCATATATTCCAATCCCCATAACAATTGACGTATATAACGAGCGATGTCTATCTCGGTGTAGTGTTCTTGTCTCGTGAGAGTATCCACCAATTCACCACCAGCCGCTCTAAATTATCATTGTTAAGAATTCTCTACTAGACAATTTTCGTAATTTTAAATTATATACATTAAATAGAATTAATTATAATAATTAATTTCTTTGTATTAAATGAAGTTAATAATAAAATAATAACTGCAAATGACTATTAAATAGTCATAGAAAATTGAAAATTAAAGATAACATAAATAGTAATTATTTATATTAATTCTAGGCAAAAATATAAATATGCAAATGCAAAATAAAGGATACAGTTCCATGACAAGAGTGACCGAGTCGTTAGTCTCGAAAGCATCGTGTAGTCGCAGTAATTTGCGGTGATGTAAGTTGTTCATCGCTTCCATTTCGTTATACATGAACGGTTTGAGATCACCGCGTCCGTGCATAATTTTAGACGCGTAATTTCTTCCGGTATTCCGTTCGACTGCGTGATAAGTGACACCCTGAGTGCCTCGACCCAATTCATCACCCAGGTCGTACAAATCGGCGAACAGTTTGTCTCGCGGTTTCACATCCATCTTCTTGCGATACGTCCTGTATCCGTATTCCTGCTCGTTTTCCTCCACATGCAGCATCACCGAGCACGATATCGAACCGGCCACGTTACCCGCGCTGATCGAATAGAGACCCTCGTCCTTGGTGATGGCGTCGTTGACGATGAGAGTCGTGGTATCTGGTTCGGTGAACTCAATCTATTTAATTAAAAATCATAATAAGTACTTTGAAGAGCGAAATGGGAATAATAGAAGCATGAACAGAACGAACCCTGATTCTGGAGGACGAAGCTATAGGCTTCCAGTCCTTGTACCACTTGAGTTCCGGATAAGGTACGCCAGTTACGCGAGCTGAAAATTGACCGGTTTTCCTCACCATCACGATGGTTTCTTCGGGTCTCTCGATAAACGTAGGATACTCCGCGATCTTTAGGATAACTCTTTGTCTGGCCTCGCCGTGTTCGTTCGTGGCGACGGCTTCGTAGACACCTTCGTCTCTCTCGAGCATCCTATTGATAAAGAGAGTCGCCTGACCGTTCCTGGTATAACTCTGATCGTAGCGGCCGCCCGATTCGATCAGCTGATCGTTGAAGTAATATGTCATCTTCGGCTTGGGATAACCGTAGACGAACCAGAAGAGGTTGCAATTGTGATTCTTCACGCCGTACTGCGTGTCGTATTCCTGACGCAGGAATCTAGGCGCCTGAGCGTAGCCGTCATGCGGCGGTCGCTCGATGTCGAAGTCCTTCGGGAAGTAGGGACTGGTCTCGGGACGGAAGTCGATACCCGGCGGTAGATAGGGGAAGAACTTGGGCGGCTCCGGCTCCAGTTTGGAGCGATAAGTCTGCGCGAACGGCGACGGATCGCTGATGCCGTACTTGTTCTCCACTCGAATGCGGAACTTGTAGTCGCGGAACGGCACGAGATTGCGTATGTCGCAGACGCAGCTGCGAATTCCGCTGCGTGCGGTGAACCAATCGCCGTCCGGCAACTCGCACATCTCCACCAGATAGGTCACGGGCACTCGCGGTCCGATCGGGATAGACGGCTTCCACGAGAGGGTAAGATGCCGGTCCATCATACGGCTGATGATAGGACGATCCGCCAGCGGTAGCGGAATGCCTGACTTCTGGTACTTGTCATAATCCGCGTACTGATCCGCGAGAGGTTTCTTCGCGCGTGGCTCTAAAGCTGTACAGATATTGAAAGAGATATGTAGATGTAAAAATGTATTTTTCTCATAGCATTATTGAAAGTTTCGTTTACTCACATTCATAAATCATCTCGGCGTTGCACGAATCTTCACCGTGAGGATTGGATATCTTCAGCACATATTTTCCGGCATCTAGCTCGTCCACATTGGCTATCGTGAGTCGCAACAGACTACCTTCCTGGTCCATCCTGATGCGATCGGTGGGCCAGAGTCTGTCACCGTTGCGATACCATTCAAATTCAGGTTCTGGATAACCCGTGACACACGCGGTGAACTTTGCCGGCATCCCTCTGTAAACCTCACAATCGCCGATCCTCTTCAGGAATGCCGGCGGCTCGACCTTCTGCATTTTTTGACTGAAATTACGGATGTTAACATATATAAAACAGCTAAAAAACCTCTTTCTCTTATAATTTTACTTCTGCAAAATCTTACATCTTATCGACAACAGCCAGGTTCGCTACACATTCCGCTTCGCCGCCCTTGTTAACCGCTTTACACCTGTACCGTCCTGAGTCGTCGTACGTGCAATCCTTCACATATAAGCAACAGGCATCACCGTCGCGCTTGATCTTGTACTTGTCGTTGTCCCGCAGAATCGGCTTGTCGTTGAAATACCAGGTCACTTCTGGATGCGGTATTCCGGTGACGCGGGCCGGGAACTTGGAGTCGTGTCCGGGCAGCTGCTGCAAGTCTGTGAACTTTTGCGTGAAGTTCGGGGATTGATACACCTTGCGGACGATCGCGTTTGCGCCGGTGGTGTCTTCGCCCAGCGGATTGCTCAGTCGACAGCCGTAAATGCCCGCGTCCTTGGGCTCGCACGGGTCGATCTGCAGCCCGACTTTCTTGCCGTCGCAGCTCAGCTTCACGCGGTCTGATGGCACAACCGGTTCGTCGTCCTTCGTCCAACTCACATCGGGGATCGGATTGCCGACGAACGACACGTCCAAGATTAATGGCTGACCCTCCTCGATGGAGACGTCGCGCATGGGGCTGGTGAACGCCGGCTTCTCCTCCGGCGTGTCCGGTCTCGCCTTGCCAACTACGTCTAGTTTGGCTTTGCAGGACGCGGTGCCTTCCGTGTTGCCGGCTATCACCTGATACACGCCGATGTCTTCTGGCGTTGCCTTGTCGAGGATCAGAGCTTGTCTTCCGTCCGGCTGGCTGATGATCTTTACGTGCTTGTTATCCGGAACAATCTGAAAATATTTAGAGACTTTATCATAAAAGTCAACTTTAAAAATCGAGAGGATGTAATTACAATTATTTATATTCGATTATCAGTGATACAAATAGATATTATACTGACTTCTTCGTCATCTCGCAGCCACTTTAGCTCAGGCGTCGGTTTTCCTAAAATCTTCACTTCCATCTTCACTGGGAAACCCTCGACGATGGTTTGTGGTTGAAGACTCGCAACAAATTCCGGTCTTTTCTCTCTTTCCTCCACCTCTACCTTGGCCGTACCCGTGATCTCACCAAGCGAGTTGGAGACGATCAGCGAATAGGTGCCGGCATCCTCTGGACGTACATAATCCATTCTCAAGCCAATAAGTCCATTCGGCTCGTTCATAAAATACATCTCTTTGGTGTGTCGCAACGGGATTCCGTCCTTGAACCATTGCACCTGTGGATTCGGGAAAGCTAGGACTTGTGCTTCCAGTTTCAATGGATGCCCAACCACGGCCTTCGTGTCCTCCAATGGCTTCATGAACGACGGTTTTCTTCGTTCGGCTACAGGGAACGTTTCATATCAATCTTATATCAAATAATACGAATCGTATCCCTAACAGCACACATATTCCGAAGACGTTTAGAGAACATCCTGAGGATGTTCTCTAAACGTCCTATGAATATCCTTGAATATTTTCTGAATATCTTTCGAATATGTTGTGCTATTAAGGATTTTACAAAGAAAAAAATGTACTCACGCGTAACAGCGACAGCACAGAGCGAGGAATTTTCGCCGCTGGAGTTTGTGACGACGAGCTTGTAAGCACCGCAATCGGTGGGTTCCACCACGTCGATGGTAAGCTTCGTGGTACCATCCGGCAATGTACTGATCTTCACGTGATCGTCCGGGGTGATCTTCTCGCCGTCCTTGAACCAAGCGATGTTGGGTATCGGACTGCCGTCTATCTTGGCCTTGAGCTCCAGAGGCTCGCCCTCGTCGACCTCCGCCGACCTCGGTAACATTTTACCGAACGAAGGTGCCGTCAACATCATGGATAGCTTGCAACTGGTCTGTGTGGTGCCGGCGACATTGGTCGCCTTGCATGTTATCGTGCCGGCATCCTTGGCTGAGAAGGTTTTGATGAAGAAGGTACTGTCCACTATGCCTTCCACGTGGGTCGTCACCTGGTGACGCTCGTCTTCTTTAACGACCTCATTGTCCTTGAACCATTCGACATTCGGTCTCGGGATGCCGGTCACGCGGATCTTCAGTTCGAGGTCATCGCGATCGCTGCATTGCACCTTTGATAGGTCCTTCAGGAAGGTCGGAATCTCGGCTGCGGAAAATACAAATATCTTTACATTTTGAACTTGTAAAAAATATACTTAAACAAAAATTCTTTAGTTTATTATATGAATTTTCGTGTATATTATAGAGTGCTGAGGATTTTACTTACTGTGAGGCGTAAGTGTGGCTTGAGCACTCACTTCGCCCAGATAATTCTTTGCCACAACTGTATAAACTCCTTTGTCCTCTAGAGTGAGCTTTTTAATGATAAGCTTGTATTTGCAGTTCCTCTTATCTTCCTCCATGTCGTACTGCTCATTCTTTTGTAACTCCCTACCATCTTTCAGCCATACGATTTCGGGTTTTGGATTTCCTTTAATAATAGCTTGCCATTCAACTCGCTCGTCAACCGACTCGGTATGATCTCTAAAGCTCTCAATTTCCGGTTGTAATAAAAGATTCAAAAATGCCTAAAGAGAAACATAAATATTTCTCATATCATATTTTTTATATTATATAATATTCTGTCGTTGCTTCCGTTGACCTATACTACTTACACTAGACTCGCCTTCGCCCCATTTATTTCTTAACTTCAAGGTGTACTCTCCGGTATCTTCTTTAGTACATTTTGGTACTTTCAATGTAACTTTACATTCTGTCAATTTATCAGCTGCTGGACCGGTAGTCAGCGTCCATTTAAGTCTAGAATCATCAGGCGGAATTTCCTGATCTTTGGAGAACCTAAAAAACAAATATTTATACACAACTATCTAAGAAACAACATTTGTCAGCTTTTTTAAACAATAATATATTTTAAAGATAAATTTAGATCAATGTGACAATAAGGAAAAAGAAAATAATATTTTTGCCATTATTTTCTTTATTATGTTTTAAAAGAATTTAAATATCTCTTTAATTACATTTAAAAAATTTGTTTATACTTAGAATACGATACATAGAATTTATAAAAACATATTATCTACATATATATACGTACCATGTGATATCCGGAACCGGATCGGCCGTGAAGACGGCTTTGAACTCGCCATCAGTTTCCAAATTGACATCGACGTCTTTGAGAGGCTCGGAGAACCTCGGTTTCTTAAGGTCGTCGACGGTACCGACTGTCAAGTAGCCCTCCACGACTTCCTCGCCCAATTTGTTGGTCAGGATGCATGTATAGAGACCCTCGTCCTCGAGGGTGGCCTTGCTGAGATCCATCTCGTACGATTCCGCGGTATTTTGTGAGATTCTCACTCGTTCCCCGGATCGAAGAATCTTGCCGTCCTTTAGCCATTTCACGTCTGGTCTTGGTAAACCGGTGGCCTCCACCACGAACTGCGTATTCTGCGTCTCGAAGATCGTTCGATCGGTGAGATTCGTGTTCACGATGTGAGGCGGGGCTGTGAGGAACAAGACATGAAGAATAAATTTTCATTCGTCAAAAAGTTGGTCGTGCATAGAACCATCTTTCTTCTTACTATCCATTCTTGAAAACACTTAGGATGCATCAGAATTCGATTAGCCGAAGAACATTATTTTATTATACGATTTAATTTTTTGTAAAGTGAATTATTATTATTTTATATTATTTTAAAATTTATCAAAATAGCTTTTATATATATATATATATATATATATATATATATATATATATATAATATATTTATATTTTATATATTTGTAATTTTATATATATATATATATATATATATGTATGTATGTATAAATTAATTAAAATTATTTTAATATTATTAATTTAATTATGTATGGAGAAGAATATTATTGAAACTGCTCATTAAAAGTTAAAATATTTTTAAAAGAACGACGTTTTACTGATGCATCTCAAGCTCATCAGTTGTGCTTTATTATATCTATCAAATAATATACATTTTTAAAAATGTACTTACCTAAAAGCGTATGGTTAAGCAGTGCTCAGCAAACCGCACAGTGAAGATTATAAAATGGGACCATCACTTTTTATAAAACAAAAGCTGAATCTTACCTTGTTATATTTTTTTAAATGATGAAGAGTATGGTGCTATAATTCAACATCGAATAACGATAAATAAAATTTCAAACACAGCTAATAATATTGCATGGAAGCATAAATAACGTATTTAGTAATATATATGTGTGATTATTAATATAATATAATTAATTACATATATATTTAATAAGAAATATTCATATATCAATATATTAATAATAAATATCAAGAAAAGAGACAGAGATAGAATTTTTAAAAATGATGCGATCTTATCAGTTTTCATTAATGGACTCTTCATAATTGTTTTATGTTTCCACGCAAACATGCGGAAATGTTACCGAAATACGATGAAAATGTGAGATGGACAACATGCGAGAAAGAAAGAGGCAAAAGAAAATAGAATAGATCTGACAGTTGTAGATAAAGCCGACATATTTCGACGACTTATAGTGCTGAAAGAAAAGTTAGCTACTGAAACCGCCGAGGAAATCCCGCGCAGTCATACCTGACTCTCTGCTTGACTCTTTATCAAGGATTTCGTCTAGCACGCTACGTTGTCGCTTAACGCGAGCTAGAAGATTCTTCATCCCCTCGTCGATCTCCTCGTCATCATCGAGTTGCCCTTTCTGAGAACTCGATGGAGTTTCGCTCGACAACGTCGAGACTTTTGTCTCCTCGAAGATCGCAGTCTCCTTTGATGATTCGACGGTGGAGCTTGGTCCATCCAGAGTTATCTCCGCAATTTTCTTCCTTGGACTCGCGTCGCTGATCGTCGAACTCTGGGTTAATAAATTCATCTTCTTCACCTCCAGACTTTCCCGTCGTAGAGTTCGATTCGATAGTCTCGCCGATGACGGCTCCTCGGATGACCGTTCTTCGGCAATGGTCTCCTCGAATCTAGAGATCCTGTGCGATCTAAGGTTCTCCAAGATTCTCTCGTCTTCCGGCGTTCCGTTGAAGCAAAATTCGTCGACGATGCCGCTCGGAGTTCTCTGATCGTCCGGGAACTGATCAGCTGATTGCACGTCCTCCGTGCTAACGTCTCGTGACAGCGCCTTCAAAGTCGATTCGTCGTCGGAGACGGAGACGATCGTGACATCACGATTGAGATTCAAGTTCGATCTCTTTTCCTCGGTCTCCGAAAACTCCTCGATCAGCACGCCGTTCTGCGGCTTCGAGTTCTCCTCTTGCACGGTGTAAGCGTAAGAAGCGATTTCCTCGATACGGGGTCCCGATTCGACACCGAATTCCCGACACTCGACTTTGGTCGCTGTCATCTTGCTGATCGTATGACTTTCATCGGGACCTGCGAATGGCCTGACCTGATAGCTTCGACTACTACTCTTACATATAATCGCGCGTATTTCTCTCATATGTTTTTAGAAATTATTTTTCTCTTTATAAATCACACAGCTTATCGCTTGAATTTATTATGATGAATTTTAGATGATGATGAGAATTTTGAAGCAAAACGATCTTTGAGCATGTTTAGATTTTAGGAAATACATTGCGATTTCGTGTACCCTGTTTGTTTGTATAATTGTTAATTGTAAAGTATTCAGACAATAGAAAAGTCTAACAACATTGTAAAATTCTAGACGTCTTTTAGACTCTTATATCGGCTGATTGTAATGATGTAATTTTTCTAATGTAGTGTATGTGAGATTACCTGTGAGTATAGCTTCGTGTGATGTTGTAGAGGCCACAGAGATCGTAATTGTTTCATTGTCTCCTTGAATTACTTGGATGTTTTGTTTCTCCACTCTGACGCGACCTAAATTTATCACAGATATTGTCTCGCTACAAAACTACCGCCAAACGATTCTTAATCAAATACCTTGTCAATAATAAATTGTATAGAGTGTGATAGATTATGATTCACGATGCGTCACACTAATCTTTCTAATTTTTAAAAATTGCTTTGTGCATTAAAAACAAACTTAAACGATTATACAAAACGATAAAGACATTATTGATTTTTACAATACAATAAAAAAATAGAAATAAAAGAGAATAATTATTTTCCTCAATTTCTTTAACGCTAAAACAATTTTGATGTTTCAATTGTCCTATCACAATTTTGCAAACATTTATGATATGATAATGTTCGATTTTTAATTAATTTTATTGATATTTAGCGCTAAAAAAACTACGGAAAATAATTATCTGTTGAATTTGTATCATATTATTAATTCTAAAATGTTTTGTATATAAATAGATATAAAAAATATATAAAAAAATATTTAAAAATTTTTCAAAACGTGAAAAAAATTTAATATAAATATTGCAAAACAATAGCTTGACTCTTAGCATGCACAGTATTTTTTAGTATAAATTATTTTAAAAAATTTGATCTTACAATTAGAAAGTGTCTTCTAATAAAACTTTTATCGAAACGTGCGACATACAAATCGCGAATTGGTGTCTTAATTGTCAAAGCGTAATTATGCTTTGCGTTTCAAACGAAGCAAACTTTATTTCACTCTGACGTAGTTCAATTTAACTAGATACTCAAATTGACGCGCAATTAATTTACCTTCCGATTCCGATTCTTCGGCGCGTAGAGTTTGCTGTGGCAACAACTGTTCCTTCACTAATTTCTTCGTTTCTTCCACCGACGTCTTTTTGGCCTTCTCTTTCGGAGGTTCTACCTTCTCATCTTCCGTTTTAGCTACGGAAGTACATTCTTTCGAGTCTTTATCATGACATGCTTCAAGATGTGAAATGTCAACACTTATGACATTTAAAAATAATACGAGTTTAAAAAAAATCGGAAAAATTCCGAAGCAACACAAACATAAAAATGAATCAATAAAAAGAAATAAAAAAGAGAACATTTTCTGCGTCAACGTCAATAATGTGACGCGTCGAAAGAGTGGTGCTCCTCTCTTTCGTTTAAGGAAATCAGAAGAACTTTCGTTTTTACACACACATATCTTTTAAATATCTAGATCTACAATAGAAGAACTATGAGAAAAACATCTCGATTAAACCTCGTCTTTTAAAGGCCGTCAGAAAATTCCCAGGGTATCACACCGGGAGATCAAAAATAAAAAAGGAAATTGTTTCGTTTGCATCCAGTACTTACTGAACGTTGTCGAAACATGACGACTTTTATTGCTTCGATTTCTCATAAACTAGAAATATATGCTGTTTATTGCTGACCACCTCGTTTTGGCAATTATCACGATTTCAGCCATCCTCGTAAGATTTCCTTAATAGAGTTTCCTTAACTCTGCTAAAATTTTCTCCGAATTTAACTCCAGAACTCGACTATGTAAGATTAAGTAAGACTTCATTCGAAAATAAATATTTCTAAAATTACGAAGTTATCTTATAATTGCGATTTAAATTCCGCAAATTAATTCTTTGAAGTATATACAATTATATTATATATTAATATCACTTTATTATTGTTTTACGAGATAAATTGCATTATCGTATAATTTTGCAATCAAACATTATAGCTCGCGTTAAACAGAATCGAGTTCCGGGTCTAGAATTAAAGAAGATGAAGATACGTGGATACTTACTCAGCACGATGACCTTGCTCTTGCTACTGACGTAACCCAGCTCGTTCTCGGCTCGCACTTCGTACAAGCCTCCATCGCTGCCCTTCAACAGCGTCACCGTCAAATCGTAGCTTTCGCTCCGCTGACTATCCCTAGTGATCTTAATCCTGGCATCCGCCGTCACCTCTTCTCCGTCCTTGTACCATTTGACTTCCGGATCCGGTGTACCAGCCACCTCGAATGACAGCGTGAGCGTTTCGCCCTCGTTCAACTTCTGGTCCGCCAGTTTCTTCAGCAACTTTGGCCGGGTGTTCACCGTCAAGTTGGAGCTGCTCGAATTCTCGCCGTATTCGTTCTGCACTTTGCAAGTATAGTGACCCTTCAGCTCGGTCGTCAACTCCTTGATAACGAGCTTGTAATTATCACCCTCCTCTATACGAGTGTACTCTGTGCGCTTCTCGGTGATTTCAACATCGCCCAGAAACCAGTGTACGCTCGGCTTCGGGAAACCCTCGACCTCGACCACGAACTCGAAGTTCAGCTCGCCTTCGTTCGCGGTCATATCGCATAGTTTCGTCTTGAATCGCGGTATGCCTCGTACCTGCGAAAATTTGTTATCAAAATATTTAAATTAAATAATTTAAATAATTGAATTATTATTTAATTAATTTCAAAAGAATTTTTCTTGAACAGAATTTAAAGGCAATTTTAAAATATAGTGTCTTAAAAGATCAACTACGTACTCTGATCCTCGTCTCGTCCGAAATGGTACCATGCTTGTTTATCACTTCAACCTTATAAACCGCCGCATCTTCCACCTTCGCACCGTTGACTATCAGTATATAATTATCTCCGTTTTTCGTCATCTTCACGCGATCGCTCGCAGTTAGAAGTTGCCCGTCCTTATACCAGTTCACCGTCGGTTCGCCATCGGAGTCTACCTCGATCAAGAGATTCAACGTGTCGCCCTCGTTGAGCACTCTCGACTCACCGAGTCCCTTCTTGATCTTCGGCGGGCATCTGATGCCGACCCTCCAAATCTCGGTCGTTTGATTGACCTCATTTCGTGCGACGATCGAATATGAGCCCGCGTCGGTCAGTTTCGCGTTCTTCAGTACCAGCTTGTACGTGTCATTATTCTCCTTGATGATTTTGAAACGATCGCTCTCCTCGATCAGCTGACCGTCTTTGTACCACGTAACTTCCGGCGCCGGGGTGGCTTCCACTTGGACAGTCATTGTGCCCGTATCCTCGATGAGAATTATCATGTCGGATTGCTTCATCGTGACCTTTGGCGCAGACTTGACGATCAGCTCGATCTGAGTGCTATCTTCGCCGAGTTCATTCTTTGCAGTGATGGTATAAACACCGGCGTCTTTGGCGGTGACTTGTTTAATTACCAGCGAGAGAGACTCCTCGTCCTCCCAGAGGTACTTGATCCTGCCACCGGCTGCGATCTCTTGACCATCCTTGGTCCATTTGATGTCCGGCTTAGGGTAACCCTTCACCTGCAAATCTAACATTGCGGAAGCACCGATATTCACTTCGGATTGCTTCGATTCCGTTTGTAATTTTGGTTTTTCCGGATCTTTATACAACTGATTCACAGATCCTTGCACCGTTAATTCCGCGCTGCAGCTAATGTTACCTGCACATTTGAGAATTTTTAGATTATTAATATATCTAAAAACACAAAAAATATTTATATCCAAAAAGAATGTGTTATTAAATATTTTCTAAATAATTTATCACATTAACAAATTAAAATTAAGTACATAATAGGCATTCGGGAATTAAGATTAAAATATAAAATATATAATAAAATGTCTAGTTTATAAAAAAATGTTAATATAACATTAACAATTTCCTTAAAAAATAATTGCAATTTACCTGTGCTAGTCTGCGCCACGCATGTATAAAGACCAGCGTCTTCGGGTTTTACATGCTGGAAAACCAGTGCCAGAGTGTCCTCCTTATCTTGGAAAAGAACCTTAAATCTCTCTTCAGGATCGAACGGTTGTCCATCGCGCGACCAAATAAAGTTCGGTTCGCCTCCGAGCTCGAGAAGACCTTCAGGAAGTCCTAGGAATAGCGGCTTTTCATCTGTCACCGTCACTACCGCCTCGCATGTAGCATCGCCATAACGATTCATAGCTGTGCACGAATATTTTCCAGCATCTTGTTTCTGAACGTCGGCAATCACCAGTTCGTAAAATCCTTTTTCAGCATTATCTCTTACGATTTTTACACGTTCGTACTTTGCGTCGATTAAAACGCCGTCCTTGAAGCTAAAAAAATACATATTTATTTATTAATTTTCTTTATGAGACTTTTCTTTAATGTTATATAACTGTAAATAGATTATGAAATAAATATACTCTTTTTTGTATAAAAATATTTTTTAGTTTCTAATTTCAAAATATATAAATTTTAGTTATCCCTTTATATAATTAAATCTCTAAACTTACAATTTTATTTCTGGATTAGGCTCTCCCTTGACCTTGATCATAAAGCGTAAATAGGTATTCTCGAGAAGTTCGGTATCCTTCAAACGCACCAAAAATATAGGTCCATTTGCATCTGCCCTTGCCTTTTTTTCTTCTGGACTCACTGCGATATTTTAAAATTTAAAGAAACAAAAAAATTTGTCCAAACATTTATCTCATTTATTTCAACGTAAAAACATTTTAAAAATATTACAAAAAAATCTAAAAGATATTTAAATTGTACAGACGTCCTTTAAGTTTCTTTCTCGAATTTTTTTTCTATCACAACTTACATTGTTGAACCACTAATTGAGCAGTGCACGTCGCCTCGCCTTTCGTATTCAGAGCACGTGCAATGTATATGCCGGTATCTGACTCGTGAACATTCTGGATCTCGAGCTTGCACTTGGTGTCGTTCCTCGTGGTAGAGACGCGATCAGCCAGTTTATCCTCCATTGGTTTGTTATCTTTTAGCCATTGCATTCTGGTGGTGGAATCGGCGGTCAACAACGTGCACTCGAAAGTTGCAACCTCTCCAGCTGCAAAGATCACTCGAATTAACGCGAAGCAAATGATAGGTCGCGAAATTCCGAAGAGTAATGAAAATATGAAAAGCGAGAATCCGTCCACAATTCATAATAAATATAACTGTTCTACGTCTAAAATATTCTAGCTGCAAATAACGTCTTATATCATTTTTTAAACGTGATATTTTTAATATACAAATATACCAGAATATATTTAATGTAGTTATTAATATTTCTATTCAACATGATGACATATCATCCACCTATTATTTGATTTGTATTGTATATAATTGAAAAAATATGTTATATAATAATGTGTGATGAAAAGTTAAATGTGTAATGCATTACAGGACAAAATTCAAGATATAAAATATTTGAAAATATAAAATATTGGAAAAAGTGATCAATGTTTGAATTTAATGACAGAAATAAGGATCTTGTTTGTCATAAAACAACATTGAAAATACATACATATAGATATATATTTGTAATGGAATGTTTCGATATTTTATTTTGAGAGAGATGATTGAAGCAGATCTTCATAAAGCGCATCGCTTGTTAAAATATGCAATAAATTTAAGTTAAAATTATAACATATATCCATAAATAATACGAACTTTCAATAATCATAAAGGAGTCTAATAAAAGTATGTCAGAGTTTGATTGTGTTGAAGATCTACGTCAGAGTAACTTGTCAGTGTAGTGAAATATAAATGTTTACTGTAGACATAGTATACATATAGCGAACATTTAGCGGCGAAGCGTGTTTGGCCAGCATAATGTAGTATCACGTCTAAAAGCATAGTTGACTCAGCTGGCTAATGGAATAACATGAAAAGTTTCAAAGAGACATATAGAAGAAATGCAAAGAATAGTAAATGCTGATAACTAGCAAAGTACGTGTCACTTTACCTATAGCGTGTATCAATGCCCTTTTTGGTCGCAACGCTAGAACAGTAAAAATGTGTATCTTATGTCTTGTGATATTCGGATACATGTCTTTATTTTTTGCAATTGTTTGTAGAAAATTTAATATGCCAATTTCCTAAATATCAAATTGATTATAATATAAAGATAAAATTCGATGAAAAAATGTTCCTACCATAATTGGCTAGATTATACAATATAATTATATATATTATATCAAATTCATTTAAATAATACTGTATAATATTACATAAATTCAACGTGTTTAAAATAGGAATTATTAACAAAAATGTGTGTATTTAATGCACATATCAAAGATATGTCACGTTATATTTTATGTACTATACATTGTTTTATTACTTGATTTTTTGTATTTTTTAATAAAAATTCAATTAAGAGCTTAATTTCTTTAATGCTCTTTACTTTGCTCATAATTACGAAAAAAGCAAAATATAAAGAGTATTTTTTAGCCGTTTTTATACAGGTGACTTTTGCTATAATACATTCGATATTAGTGACGAAACATATGTGACACATACAAATATCTAAATAAAATTTCACATCGCATACTTACGTTCCACACTGCATCCCTCTATCGTCTTGATAAACACCGGTTTGCCAGCCTCAGCACCGAGAGTGACTTGGGCAGTTCCCTTTTCGCTTTTCGAGTCTGCTGTTGCATCACCGATAATCGCAGTCTCGTACGAAGTTGTGGTTTCTGATATTTGGTCTCCTTGTGCCGAGGAAGACATCCTCGTCTCGACAGCGGATGCTGCCGATTCCGTGTACGTGGATACGCCATTACGACTACTCGATATTGACGAGTATTCTATATTTGAAAATTATCTTACTATAGTTGACACACATAGTGCGTTTGCGAGATTCAAATTGAAGAGCTTGAAATTATTTTTTATTTCTGGTTTTATCGTATTTTCATCATATCCGAATGAGACAAAACAATTATTGCTAATATTTAAATTTTAAATATAATTTTTAAAAAATTGATAATTTATTTCATTCTATAAAGTTATTCCTTAGAGTTTTAAATTGACCTAACCCATTAATACATATATCATACTTTTATTGCATTTATTGGAATAAGCGCTGCAAGTATGCAACATCGATCTACATTGCCAATTCTAACGAACATGCGACACCGAATTACGAGAGAGCGTTTCTGTGATGTAATAAAACGAGCTTTTACCTTCCACGACCTTCGAGGAAGTACTATATCGACTTGAGGAATATCTTCGGGACATGTCTGCTTGCGTTTCGTCGACCTTAGTCTTCTTCGCTTCCGATACGTTGGTCACAGAGTCCTTCCTCTTCTCCACAACCTTGGTGGAGTCCTTGATCGAGTCTACCTTCGGTGGACCCGGATTTGCCTTAGCTTTTTCCTTTGCTTGAGCTTTATTGAGTAATTCCGGATTCGCTTGTTGTGGTTCAACTTTAACTGGCTTCTCTACAACCTTGGTGTCCTTGATCGAGTCTACCGTCGGTAGACCCGGATTTGCCTTAGCTTCTTCCTTTGCTTGAACTTTGAGTGATTCCGGATTCGTTTGTTGTGGTTTAACTGATTTCTCTTCAACTTTGGTGCCCTTGATCGAGTCTACCTTCGGTGGACCCGGATTTGTCTTAGATTCTTCCTTTGCTTGAACTTTGAGTGATTCCGGATTCGCTTGTTGTGGTTTAACTGACTTCTCTACAACTTTGGTGTCCTTGATCGAGTCTACTTTCGGAGGACCTGGGTTTGCCTTAGCTGGGTTTATCTTAGCTTCTTCCTTCCCTTGAACTTTGAGTGATTCCGGATTCGCTTGTTGTGGTTCAACTTTAACTGGCTTTTCTACTTTTGCGTCCTTGATCGAATCTACCTTCGGTGGACCTGGATTTGCCTTAACTTCTTCCTTCACTTGGACTTTAAGTGATTCCGGATTCGCTTGTTGTGGTTCAACTTTAACTGGCTTCTCTACAACTTTGGCGTCCTTGATCGAATCTACCTTTGGTGGACCTGGGTTTGCCTTAGCTTCTTCCTTCGCTTGAACTTTGAGTGATTCCGGATTCGTTTGTTGTGGTTCAACTTTAACTGGCTTTTCTACAACTTTGGCGTCCTTGATCGAATCTACCTTTGGTGGACCTGGATTTGCCTTAGCTTCTTCCTTCACTTGGACTTTGAGTGATTCCGGATTCGCTTGTTGTGGTTCAACTTTAACTGACTTTTCTACAACTTTTGCGTCCTTGATCGAATCTACCTTTGGTGGACTTGGATTTGCCTTAGCTTCTTCCTTCACTTGGACTTTGAGTGATTCCGGATTCGCTTGTTGTGGTTCAACTTTAACTGGCTTCTCTACAACTTTGGTGTCCTTGATCGAATCTACCTTCGGTGGGCCTAGATTTGCCTTAGCTTCTTCCTTCACTTGGACTTTGAGTGATTCCGGATTCGCTTGTAGTGGTTCAACCTTAACTGGTACCGGCTTCTCGTCGCTCTTGAGTTCTTCCTTGGTTTCCGGTACTTCTTCGGTCACTTGAAGATCGTCCGCTGCGTGCTCGGCGAGAGCGACCAGATCGCTGGCGTATTGACGAATCTCCCTGAGCCAGTAAGCTTTCACGGGATCCTTGTGAGCTACTAAAGTGATAGGATAATTGGGGATAGTAGGGCTGTGTAGTTCGAAGGATCGTATGTCACCGGGATGATCCTTCACTTCTACTTCCGGTAACTAAAATAAAATGTAATCAAATTTATTGCATTGTTCTACGTGTATATTTTGATCGCAACGTGATTGTGATATATCAATACTCCCTTACTCGAATAATATCCTTTAGAACGAAAACTGATCTATCTTCCGAGATCCGTCTGACTTTGCAAACGAGAATTCGCGCTTTGAATAGAAATAAGTATCTCTCTTTGCTTTTTCCTTCCTTATCAATAACTGTGTACCATTCCTAAGAATACAAACATAATTTTCACTCAAACGAATTAATCATAATCGCTGAAACCTTCTTTATTCATATCTATATATTTATGATTATTAAAAATAATTTTAATTATTTTAATTATTATTAAATAATTCAAAATGCGTATAAGAAAATTATATAAAATAATAGAGAAAAATTCTTATCAATTATTTTTAATTTTTTAATCGTTTTTTGTTTTACTTATTATAATTTGTTTATCAAATGTACTTACATGTGTGAGTAATCTACCAAGTTTGTGAATATTCCCTTTGTATCCTTCGATATTGCTTATGAATTTATTATCGGTTGCCCTGTGAGGGATTCCTAGCATCAATTCTAGCGCCTTTTGGAGATCGTCGCAGTTTTCGCCTAATCGGGTCGAATATTTCACCAGCTCCTGCGAATATGTGCGATAATAATTTATAAAGCGATTTATACATTAGCATGCCATTTGTCCAAGAAAATGAGACGAGAACAAGACATTTACATTGAAACAAGACGCAAGCAAGAATGTTCGATAATTAATGATTCTTGGCTTATACATTCATATCTGTAGGAATGTATTTTTGCGACCGGAATCGATTCGAAATAAGATTCGTCTCGATTCGACTCTCATCCTTGGACCAAATTAGCTTGTGTACCTGTGTATCTTGTGTACTTGGACACGCTTATTAACCATCGCGATGTTTTACGACTACGTCTGTCTCCTTCGTGTTTGCGCAGAATTTTTCCATAAATTAATCGTAGCTCTCTCGGAGGTGTAATCTGTTGTGGCGACGCACTTTTAGCTTGCTAAATTTGTACGACACCTACGCATTCGTACACACAAACGCGAAATGTTTTCTATAACGTCGTTTTTATACGAAGTGTCCAGATTTATCGAAAGCCACGTTGCATTCCTCGATAAATTCGCGATCTCTTCTTAGCATGTACTTGCAAATTTGTAAAGTCAAATTAAGAAAATTTATTTGTATCAAATTATCACTTTCGATCGCAAAACTCCAAGAATTTGTTTCCGTAAAAAATCATATCGCTCTAAACTTGTTCTAAATTTAACAAACTTGTTAATGCCAATGATTAATAAGCGCGAAAGTATTTTTAAAGCTTCTAGCTATAATGCTAATGTTTACCGTGTTTATTTTAAAACTTGCGTTTATTACAGCGGCGACCTGTAGCAGCGATATGAATAAATAATCATAAGTATGTATAAGCCAAGAAAGAGAGAAACAGAGAATCATCAATTACCGAACATTCTTATATACTCGCTCCTTAGTTCAATGTAAATGTTGTCACCTTGTTCTTGTCTCATTTTCCCGGGCAATTGGCCCGCATGCTACAATTAATCTATTTGGCTTAGAAGAGTGTACATTGCAAAGAGCAAGTACATACATATATGAAAGATCTAATATCTGTGCAATCAGTTATAGATCTCGTCTATCGAGCTTTAAAAATTAAATAGATGGGGATTAAATTTAGTATTTAGGACACAAACTGAAAGATACTGATTTTTTTTCATTTATACAATGAGGCGGACTTTTATAATTCGTGTCTCCGTCGATCTGTTATAAATATTCCGAGTGAATGAATGGCAATTATGTGTCGAGGAGACACGATTTCAAGGCAAAGTGGAAAGCTCTTTAGCGCCGCGCTATTTCCGTCCGACGCAATAAAATTCATGTGGAAATATAGGTCGTGCTGTACATCCATTTACATATATTTAACTGTCTGATTGTCTCATTACAATGATTTCATCGACTAAAAAAAGTATCAAGTGCGTTACATTTAAATAGGTTTTTTTATTCCTCTTCGAAAATAATCTTTCTGAGATCTTTCTCAAACTTTCAACAAATTTTATATATGTTTTATAATATATTATTTTCTGTATTAAAATAATATACGATATATTCCTATTATTGCAAACGACGATAACGAGATTCTAAAATTTTATGACAAAAACGAGAGATAATAAAACGAAAAAAATATACAACATACCTTTAGCAGGAGCTGGTAGTCGTTTATGCGTTGTATTGGAAGCTTTAAATGTTCCGATATACTTTTGTCGTCGCCCAGAGTCTGGCTCAACTCCTGCAAGAAAGGAAGCGATGGCACGATTAATTAGATCGTCTATTTTTTTCAATTTACTTATAGACGCTGGGAGACAAAAATATATATAATAAATTATAAACAAAAAAAATTCAAACTCTTAATCTCTTTCGAGAGTCACTAACAATAAAACGATCCCGGCGCGTTCTCGAGATATTTCGACGACGATTCGCGCCACAACGGACGTAATTCGATACCGGCAGCAACACCAGAGAGTTCTGCCTAGAACAACTGTATTTTTGGATGTGTGACTGAATTTTGCGTGCAACATATGCGTGTGTCACCCTCACATACGTGAGTGCGCGCGCGTTGTCATCGAGGGTGTGAGAGTTGACGCGCGCAAGATTGACGTATCGCGACGTCTCGCGATTTTGGTACCAAGACAACACGCTTGGAGAACGGAGAACTTCCCTACTGGACGCGCACCTTGAAGGTAACACCTCGGGAGAGCCTGGTCTATCGATCGGAAAATACTTGGTCGTGTTGATCGTCGCGGACGAACTGCCTCCTTCGGGAGTCCCGATCGACGCTCGATCGGATTCTGTGGATCACGCTCGCACACACGGTGGTCAGTGGTTCGCGGTACTGAAGAAGAATCTCTCGCAACTCGTCGCAACACACTAGGAGGACCGATACGGCAACGGCTATACTTAGACGCCGGACGGTTTCGTGTGCGACTACTGACCACACGCGAAAACAACACGAAGAGAGCGCGAATACCCTCCGTTAGGCTCCGGATCCCGGTTTCTTTCAGTCGTCTTTCGATTATCCTCTACATAGACAGGAAATTGTGTTCCCTCTTCCTTCATACAAAATATAAATTTATAGAAAAATCTGTGGATAAAAGATAGCTCGTTAAGAATCTGAAATATTTGCCTCACATTATTTCCCGATGTTAAATGTTATAAAAGATTCAAGGAAGTATCTTATTTGTTATTTCCTTAAAATTTAATTTCAAATACATAGATTGAATATTTTTTTAAAAACTTGATTCATCTTTTCCCTTGATACTAAAATTATAATCTTTCTGTCCACACAGTAAATAACAAATGTCTTTAAAAAAATTTAGAAAGAAAATTTTATTTATTAGAAATAATTAATAAATTTTAAAAGAGAAAAATTTATAAAAAAAAGAATACGTTTAATATGAAATATTTTTGCTGTGATATATATAGCATTGTGTAATATTACGATATTTTGTCTGCTGTATCCTTAACTTTAACAAAAATGCATTTTTCAGTAGTATGCATCTCGATACTATCAGCCGTAGGCAAGACGGACGAAAGATGTTCCGTCCGTTAAGAATAAACTCAGCTATTTTGAGGGCTGGACAGACGCCCGCATATCCCCGTCTGTTATATAATTACATCATTTTCTCCAATCCATACCGCCACAGCAATCGAACATGGAATCACGTAGAAAATTCGCAACATGCATGTCGTATTCAATTTTGCAAATTACAGGATATTATGTCACAGTTTTAATTTATTTTTAATACCTATTAAAATAAATGTGATTTACAACATACATAAAAAGTGCACATCTTTGAATGTATATTCACTTAATTGGTATGTTATAATTACAATTATGCATCAGAATACAAATAAGTATTTGAATATTTTTAGAATATTTACATAATGCCAACTTGGTATGATTCATATTTAATTCAATGATATTAACGTCTCAATTTATCTCGATGAATATAATATTAATTCAATCTGACTTGAAACTGCATCTCGTGCCTCAGTCACGCCTCGATTTAAAATTAGTACTTAATTCTCAATTAGAAATGTGAACAGTTCTTATTGGTTAATAAAAAAAATTAAAAGAAATAATACAAATAAAAAAAAATTGTAAAAGTTTGAATATAATATTTTCTTAATTTTTACATTTAACTTAAATTTACATTTAATTTCTGCAATGATAATAATAAAACAAAAAACTTACCTCGAAGTATTCGCGTGCTTCGTTGTTTGTCTGAAGAAATTCCTGAGCAGCTGGCTCGTCCCTGCAGTACGCCACGTGCTTGTCAAAATCTCTCTCCTGGAATAGAATGACATCTTATTGCAATCAGCGTTTCTATTCAAACATCAGTTATATGATCTTGAAATTTAATCGTAAAAAATCTCATCTTTTACTTTGTATATTTTCACGAGTATATAGTTCGACACACATCAAAGAAATGTTTTGCACCACTTTATTTGTTTTTATTTTCGCTCTAAGATAGAGATATCATACATTTTTTTCTCAGATCATCGAATAAATTAAAGATCTCAGTCATAAATGTCACTATCTTCCTGTATTACCAAGTTTTTTTTATAAACGAGATATATGTCTCGTCAATCACGTATTATATCACTGATAAATATATGGATAGCAGTAACGATTCCACATAGTTCGAAAAATAAACACTGTTTTTATTAAAATAATTAATTTCATTAACTCAAATATATTATCACGTTTATGTCATCATCATTATACAAAATTAATATTTATCATATGATAAATGATTTTATATCCAATTTAATAAAAATTCAAAAATGGTGTAAAATTTTCTTCGATATCTATAACATAACACATAAACATCATTAATATTTTAAATTGATATTTTACTTATTGTAATTAATTATTATGATTAAGATAAAATTACTTTAATAATTCCATTATTCAAAATCAGTATATTTTTTATTTTTTTTATTTGCAAACAATTGCTTCTCTTAATCTAACATGTACATAAGTACTGAATTAAAAAATTTAAAGTATGTAGAATTAAGAAGAAAGAGCAATGTTTACAAATTAATGGAAATTAGTATAACATTATTTTAACAATAAATTATGGCAATATTAATTAAAACTTACCAGTCTCAAGAAAGTTTTGCCGAGCATACGTGGTTGATCCGCATAATACTTGACACCCTCGATCAACACCCTGCCGAACGATCTAAGTAAGGCCGGAATTAATTATCATGCCAAAATCACACCACGCCTAACATGCTACGGAATGGAAGTCTGCGTCATCTCTAAAGTGCGACACATATTACTTAAATGCGATACGGAGAGAAGATAATACGGTACATTTGGTTATCAGTATTATTTACTGATACACGGGAAAATGGGTCTTATGGGGGTTTTTTATGAAGAAATTAGAATCTGATTTAACTCTCAGCGTGAAACAGAAAGATCAACATTAACGGGCGCTAATAGATTAACGTTGATCTAGTTAGTAATGTAATCAATACAGAAATAACTTGTCTAGTAACGTATATATCAATAATGAATTATGATAATGAATGGTAATTTTCTTTCGTGACAGAGTTAGACAAACATTATGTTTATCTCAGGCTTGTACAATTTTATAAAATTCAATTTGTTACACTTAAAATCATAGTTTGACATTTAAATAAAGGGTACTACCTATAATTAATTTTTTTAAAAGCAATAGTTTAGATATAGATTAATTTTGTTGGGACACATGTACGAAGAAGCACACTACCACACAAAATACGTTTCGATGTGTAAACTTACGCTTTATACATCGTAATCTGCTACAAGCGAAAGAAATCGTATGTGCAGCGTATATTGTATGCGTATGTGGTGTGATCGTGTGACAATCTTTGTGTCAATGATAATGCCAATTTAATTGATTAAACCAATTATAATGCCAAAAGTAAATAGTGTTTGTGTTTTTTCAATGCTCAGTATTGTGTAAAAAAAAAGATATGTAGTGTTGGTATTTATTTATACATTTAGATGAGTACTATAGTGTAATAAAATTTATAAAATCGTCATTAATATATAAATTCTATAGCAAGAACAGAAATAAAAATATATTGTTTCATACTCGTAAAGCTCGTGAATGCTGTTTATAAATTATAATAAACTCCTTTTCATATCTAATATAATTTTAACTCCTTTATCGACAAATTAAAAAAAAAAATCAGTAGAAAAAGGTGTGTAAGGTCCGACTTTGTATTGTATTCACGAATGCTTGTGTAGTATCGCAGTGGGTCGTTTTCTTTTATTACCAGTGTACGCTGTAAATACATACGTGTTGTGAAAATCGGCTATTTGTTTCAGATTAGTGAAAATAATTTCTTTGTTGTCTCGGACGCTCCGCGGGACATCAGGGTTGTCGAGAGGCTTCAGGTATCGTTCGACGACCAGCTGAAGATCCCTACCGAATTCTTCCTCCGTCTCGATTAATTCTTTCACGACGGCCCTGTAAGTAAACGAAAGATATTTTTCTCCATTATATAAAGTTACCATATATATACATATATAAAAATATAATTACAAGGATTTGAAATTTAATAAATTATAATAAGCTTAAGTCCTTAAGCTTGCGATATAAAATAAAATTTAATTAAAGAAATGATAGAATAATTTAAAGATAAAAATAAAAGAGAAAGATAAAGAAGAAAAAAGATCGCAATTTATAATTAAACAGCTAAAAATGTCAAGAATAAATTTAGGAAATTGCGAGTTAAATAAATATAAATACATACTCTCGCCGATAATAAGAATCTTCTGGTCGACTCATTGATGAACTGTCTTCACTAAGCGTTGTTAGCATTAAAATGGATATGGGTAACCATCCTTGCCTTCCGTTAGGTGCACGAACGTGTACCCTAAAAATAAATTCCATTAGATATATGTATGTATTATAAAAAGAAATATTACAAAAGAAATATTTTGCCAGATATTTAAAAGTCTTTTTAGAGATTATAAAAAATTGTAAAAAATTTTATAAAATTGTATAAAATTGAGAGTTACATTTTTTAATCTCTGATAATCTCTATGCAATTACATATTTTTAATATTTAATAGCTTATTAAAAACATAATCTCTTCTCGAAAATATCCACGAATTTTGATACTTTCGCAGCTATTTTTAGGTCAGTTTAGAATTCTGAATCTAATCTGATTCGATCGGATGCTATCGAAAGGGGTGATGTAGATAGAAGATGTCCGAGTGCGTGGGAGTCACGCAGTTATATTTACTCGAAATGACTAAGGCTGCATGCCATCCTGTCATCGAAGTCATCGCCCATTCACAGAACGCAAAATTTGCTGGCGAATGTATCCGAATTGCTACACACGACAAGCTTTATTATCGCGCGACATTTACATTTTACGCTGATTATCACGTGCATTGCCTAAGAAAGAGTTCCATAAACGCAAAAATCGAAATAAAATACATTGAACAATTAAAAATAAATTTTACTTTTTTATTACTGATTTACTTTATCATTTTCTGAAGTGCAGCTTATTTTTTCTTTCGCCGGTTCAATTAAACAATTACAATAATTAATGATAATGATTCGTATTAATTATACAAGTTAAAGAATATTATTTTTTGTTCAAAAAAAAACATCGATAGCGTTCAAAATTTGTGACGTGAAACAGATGTTCCATTAATACAGGTTTCCCAGCATTCGAAGATTCTTTCTTAGCAATAACTTATGCACTATCAGTTTTACTGACACTCTGGCCGACCGCCAATCACAGCAGAGATACGATCGTGCGCGAGATATTATTGCCTTGGACGTGTATAAATGCTTAATCTTCATTAGCGTCGTCATAATTCAAAGGGATTGAATTTATTTTGGAATCGCGCTTAACTCCAAATTCGCGTTAAATGGAGCTATGTATCTATGGACCGCTTTTGTCTCATCTATTGTTAAACGATCACAAGACGATGTATCGCGGGAATTCGCTTACTATTCTGTGTTTCCTAACAATTCTAAACACGCCAACAAATCCAAAGAAGAGGAATTTGTTGAATCACTCTTCATAAATAGTTCGATAATATATATTTATCCAAGCATTAAATTTTATTTACTATAGATATATTTGTTAAAAATACACGGTTGAGATTCACTATAGTTTTCTTTGAAAACACAATATGTAATTTAATAAGAACGTCCTTGTCGTAGGTCGTAGCCACTCTGCTTTTGTTTGTCGTTAACATATAGTGCAAGTGATCCATTTCGCCCAGTTTAAAATATGAATTTAGATAATAGCCTTCGAGAATGATGAATCATGCATTTGTCCACATAAGGTTTCTCGCAGACTTCTTTTCTTTTATTCTTCCTCTTTTTAGTTGCTATATAATTGATATACATATATATATAAAATAATATACTTAATACATATAATATATATAGGTAATTTATTTTATTTTAAAACATATCAATAGATTTTTTTATAATTGATAAACTCTGATATTTCGATCGAATTATTCGTAATTTTGGAATGTATATATTCATTTCTCAAAGATTGATACGCATTTCTTGCCTTGTCAAAATAATAAATCATCGCTCCATATGCGAAACCGAAGACGTCAGCGATGTTTTGGCGATGACGACGAATCGTTATCCTATAGCGACAGGAAGTCGACGATGACGTGTTGCCGAGAGTCGCAGAAATTAATTTCGCAGCCTTCATTACTCTATTTTAAGTCGGATAGATTTTGTTGCTGACTAAAGCGCGATGAAACGTACGTCAAAGAAAAGTTTAATTTACGTTTTCGATGATAAAATTAGCGAATGCCGGACGTTCGTCGTCTTGAACGATTTCCGAGATTAAAAAAAAAATAAAAAATGACGTTATTTCGGATCTCGACACTTTACCTTTGAAGGCTCGAGTCCGACTCGATACTCGAGCTGTTTCGAGCTCGCGGATCCGCGTGAGTTCGACGTGGACGGATCGACAGCTTGTGCTTTGCGGCCGAATTGTCCAAGATATCGCCGACCTCGACCTCCAGATCGGGGTCCATCCTCGCTTTCCTACAACAACGCGAAGCATCCTCTGTAGAGCTTCGTCGGTTCGCGCCACGAGGAAAAGTTTGCAAAAAAAAAGAAAAAAAAGAAAAAAAGACGTATCTTAATGTTAATACTAATGTTATTTTAATACTGAGCATTTCTCTATAGAACTCATTTATTTGTTATTTGACACTATCAGAGCCAACTGCATCGCAGCTCTAGAACGTGCAAAGCGATTAAAGCAAAGCTGACGTTTTGCAAGCGTTTTGTGATAACACGAGAGTGCCGTTCGCAAATTATATGCGTGACGTTTCGCAGCATGCTGTTCCAGCTTGTTAATTTTACGGATATAGCTCTAAAAGCCATGCGCTGTGCTAATTTTGCAATATCCAACAGCAAGGCGTAGTCTTATTCGCGGTACACAGTTTCTCCGTTATATTTACTTGATTCCCTTAAATCCCATACAATTTAGGTCTCTCTCTCTCTCTCTCTCTCTCTCTCTCTTTTCATAAGAATCTCTTATCCCCGGATATTCGAAAATTATTCACATTCGCTCGCAAGCGTGAGTTCATATTCGCAGACTTGCCAACTCTCTTGCATAATCGCGATATCTTTATGTCGTCGTAAATTTTACGCGAATTCTCCGTCCGTTTTCATCAATTTTCGCGCAAGGCGTGACACGCCGAATGCCAATGCGACCACCGTGCGATGTATAGAAATAGCCGGCGGGTGTTTAAACAGAAGCCGAAGAAGCAGTCTTCTATGCGGCTCTCGCAGGGCAATGATCCTCGCGCCAGTACAGTTTGACATCCGGATTGACTTGACCGTAAGTTAAGTCCTCCGCCCCACGCGAGAGAAGTTTCACGGTGCAAAATAGGCGCGGTTTATCATGCGTAAACAGTGACCGCGTTCAGGACTTCACGTTACTTCGCGACGACGTCGAGCCAGCGTCGCTTTTAATGGCGAGACTCGCACCTGTTAGCCATAAATGCGTTCGTTCAATCAATCTCTCGGCTCTATCGCTTCCGCGTCTGAGCCGAGATCTCCAAGATATCGGCGATAAACACCCTGAACAATCGTTATCCACCGAGAGTACGACTTTGCACGCACGTGTGTGCGGATGAGTCGCGTGAGCTAATTTTAATCATAGATGAAATCCCACCCACGTGTACGAGCGACGATGTAAAAGACAGAGCGCGCTGACAATGCGCATTTCGAGAGAAGAGTTATCTTAATTTTTTTTTTAAATTGTTGAGATATCCTTGGACTAAAAATTGCTTACTTCGCTGAACCGTCATGCTCGATGGCCTCGACGATGTCCCCGACGTGCACGGTAAATCCGTCGGTGTCCGCAACGTAGTCTTTCACAACGACGTAATTTTCCGAGGATCCCTGTAACAAAAATACGGTAGCATAAATAAAGGAACGACAGTGGTACGCGAAACCTTTTTTTTCAAGCGCATCTTGAAATAAAGCTCTCTTGACCGTTTATTTTATGAATTGTAGAATACTGGTAAATTATAACAAGTGGAATATATAGAGACGGGTTTTGAAATCGTCCACGTGTTGACAGAATTTGTCGGAGAAATTCTCGAATATCATCGAGAGAAGCTGGATTTAGCGGATTATTATTAAATAAACCAAAATTTTTCCATGACACGCAGAAATCCTTTCTTCACCCCCTCTTTTATTTTTATTTATATCATCTAAATCAGATATTTAATATTTAATCATTATTGTAATATTATTACGTTTTAATATACATTTATACACTCTATCTTAATGCATTATATCGATATAGACTAATAATCTATTAATTAATATATAAAATATTATAATATATCATATATGTATATAATATGTTATAATATATAATATAATTATTTTTCTAATTAAATATTTTCTAAATAAATAAATTCTTAATTTGTATGAAACAAAATAGTTTCGACAAAAGATGTATAAATATCGACAAATGCTGCGTTCTTCATTTCTCTCATATACTTTACCCGCTCAAGGCTGTTCTTTCGCCGAGCATCGTTCAATCTCTTCAGACTCGGCGTGTTTTCTCTGCTGGCTGACAGAAGAGTGACCGACTGCTCGGACTTCGACAAGGTCGCGATGCCATTGCACTCTTGTTTGTTGGAGCTACCGTTGGCAGAACCATCCAAACTACTGGCGACCGAGGTCGTGCCGGTGAACGTGGCAGACATCACCTCGCCATCCGTATCTACTTCCTTCGCCATCGGGCAACAATACATGGAGAACCGATGCGCGGTCGGACGATTCAGCCTGAGCGCCGAAAACACATGCAAGGGCTCAAAGTGATGTATCCCGTCCTCGTCGAGAACAGTAAAAGCCACCTCGCCGGTCAGCACCGAGCGAGACGCTTCCCGGGGCACGACCGCTTGCAGACCCTGCTTCAGGATCATGAAGATGGACGAGGGTTTGTGACTTCTTCTCAGGAGAAACTCCTCCATCGCCAGGCTGTTGTCAGCGTGCAGCAACGCGGTCGGAACGTCGGCGGAGGACAGCAACGGGGTCTCTTCAGGTACGATCATCAGCGCGGCGCTCTCTCTTACAAGGGTCCGAAGTCGCGGGTCGGTTCTCGCCAGCTCGGGATCGCTGCACAATTGTCCGAGGGCGTTCATGAAGGGCGGCCGTTCCTCGGCGAGTCTCCTCATGATCGCCAGCCTCTTCAGTACGTCCATGGTAACGCGATCGTTCGCCAGCGCTTGGGTGGATCTCTCGTCGCCGATCACAGCCAGCAGGCTTCTAGCTGTGTCGGACATGCCCAGGGCCCGTGCCAGGCCCACAGCTTGTAGCAGCATCTCGCGTACGTCCGGTCCACGTTCAGCGTTCAGCAGCTCCTTCACGCGAATCTCGCTCGACTCCCGAACAGCCTGGACGATCGCCTTGTAAACCGTCTCCGTGGCTTCCTTCTCCGTCGCTACGTCCGCCACGTGGCGCGATACGTTCTCCAGAACGAGCGAAATCAGCTCGGGATCGTTTCTCGAGACGGTTCGGAAGGCTGGTCCGATTAGATCCGCGCTATGCTCTTCTTCGAGAACCATCGACAGCTTGTTGATTACGATGTCCTTTTGCAAAGACTGGTTAGAACTCATGGCAGATTTCAGTATGTTGACCTTACTGTTCTGAATAGTTAGCAGTTCGGATAATACGTTCTGACAAAGAGAACTACGGTTCTGTGGGATTAGAAGAATTTTCAGAACTTCGTCGACCGATCGATTGACGTCTCGATCATTCTGATGCAGCAGCACGTTGAAGGACTCGCTGATGGAAGAATAAACAAAATCTTGAGAGTTGTCGTTATCTAATACCGTCTGTTGGTTGTCGTCTGATATCATTAAAACAGCTGCTGCGATCGCACCCTGAAGAAGTTCGAAACTGTTGTCGCTCTTGGTTCCATTTTCTTTTTCCTCTTTCACAGCAGGCGAATGAACACCATTGGTCAGCACTTCTGCATTTGCGGGATTTGAATTTCGTTGTTGTTGCAAGACAATATTTTTCGCAAGTTGCGCGACCATCGAGACAATCTGCGCCATCTTAACCGCCGTGCCACCTTGCAGGCTCAACTTCGTCGTTGCCACGACGAGGGCCTGCTCCACCGCCTTCGGATTTACGTTTACGTCTACTGACGGCAAGCTCGTAGCACCTTTTCTTCCCACGAATAACCCCGCTTCTGACAGCTCGTGTAACATTTTTGCGTCTATGCTGGTCTCGCCGCGATGACGGAAGCGTGGATTATAATTCAAATGCTGCGGTCGCAGCAATCGTAGCTCCTCAGGCGTAACCTCGAAGCCTTGCACCGAAAATTCCAGCTCGCCCTCGGGAGTATCGATAAGATCGGGAGCGACAAAACAAGGTCCTTCTTCCGTCTGGACGATTTGACCCGGCACAAAGGTCACACCTATCTCGCCCGTTTCCACCACGCGCCCTGGCACGAATCTAGGCCCATCTGGCGTGTCTACCACTTGTCCAGGTACGAATCTGGAGCCTTCCTCTTCGGTGTAAATCACCTGGCCAGGGATAAACGTTGGTCCGACCTTGGTATCAACGATCTGGCCTGGCACAAAACGTGGTCCATCTGTTGTGTTTATCGTTTGACCAGGTACGAACTTAGATCCTGTCCGGGTTTCTACTATCTGACCGGGAACGAACTTTGGTCCGCTGCTAGTGTCGATCACTTGGCCCGGCACAAATTCCTCCCCTTTTTCTGTCGTGACTATCTGACCTGGTAAGAAGCCGTCCTCGGTCATAACACCCGGTACAAAACGCGGCCCGTCCTTGTCGCCACTGACCAATTGACCCGGCACGATCCTCTTGCCCTCTGGCAGCTTCTTCGCGTTTTCCGGGAAGAACTCGATACCTCTCTCCGTCTGCACCATGTGGCCGAAGATCTCGCGCTGCTGGAGAACCGACGCCGCGTTTGTGCTCCTCGGATCCACGGGGATACCGACAGGACCGGCGTCCTGAAAGATGACTTCGTCGAATTTCTTCGCCGCGACAAACTCAAAGCCCTTTTCGGTTTCAATGGTTCGTCCCGGACAGAAAATTATACTTTCTGTAGTTTTCAGTACCTGACCTTCAACGAACTTTTGACCTTTCAGAGTATCCAGCGTCATTCCCGGACGAATGTCGGCGTATCTTCCGTGTTCTTGACAATACCTGGTACAAAATGTTTCTCGTTTGATTTCGTGGTGACGTATTGCCCGGGAACGAATTGCAGACCTTCGGTCGTCTGCAGCGTCTGTCCAGGAACAAATCTAGGTTCACCGTTCGGCGATTCGACGCACTGACCTGGCACAAATTCATATTTATCGCCGATAAATACGTTCTGTCCCGGCACGAAAACCGATTCGCCGCTGTAATCCGTGACAGTCTGGCCTGCCATGAATCGAGCTCCGTCCGAAGTGTTTATGGTTTGTCCCGAGACAAAAGTTCCGTCCGTCGTTACTTGACCAGCCACGAATTTCGGGCCCTCCTCCGTCAGGACGGTCTGACCCTCGACGAACTTGCTACCCTCACTCGTATGGAACGTCTGACCTTGAACAAAACATTCACCTCGCTCCGTCGTCAGGGTCTGACCGGCGACGAATATCGGCGTTTTCGCCCCGTCTGATTCTTCGACGGTGATGACCTGTCCAGGGATCAAAAGAGGCCCGTCAGGCGTGTTGAGAGTGAGTCCGGGACGGGACCTTGAAGACGGGAGTTTGAGGAGTCTGCAAAGTTTGGCCGGGCACAAAGATGCGTTTGGCGTCTGCAGCGTTTGGCCAGCGACAAATCTCTCCGCCGACTTGATGTCTAACTTAAGACCTTTCACATTGTGGATCGTACTTTTCTTGCCAGTAGACAGATTCCGTACCAGTTCGGGAACCTCCTCCATCCTAGGCAGACATTTCAACGCCGGCTCTCCAGCTTGAAGAAGCTTTTCCGTGATGTTTGCGGTCTCTTCAAGATTATCCTGCGAAATACTCTGAATAGCGCTTTGCAACGTCACGTCCACCTTTGCAATCAAGGGTGTCAGTGGTTTCACGATCGCGACTGCCTCGAAACCTCCTACGGATTCGAACATAGGGGTAGTGTACAGAATTGGTTCCCGACCTATGATCTGCAGCTCGGCGTGTACAGGAATCGGCATATCCGTGATTATCGGCACGCCGGCTGGTTTAGTCGTGTTGTTTCGAAACGATTTCCAGTCTAACACATTGGAGATCGGTTTTACTGCGTCTTTGAGAGCGTTCGAAATATTTACGACGTCGGAAGATTGGACTCTCGTCTGTTCCGCATCCACATGCCTCCAATCTTCCGCTATCGTCTCGATTTTCACCTCTTCCTTGATGCTCCTTAACTTGAGTTGCTTGGCACGTCGAAGCTCTTCCTCGTCGGCCGCCTTCTCCTTTTCCTCGAAGATCTTCCTCGCATAATTCAACGCTGTCTGCTTCTTTCTCTTTCGCTTTCTAGCCTCGGCCTCCAGCTTTTCTCGCTCCTTCAGCACTTCCTCTCGTGGTCCCAGTCCGTCGTAAAGATTTTCAAAATCTTCCAAGTTCTTGAAGTCCACAGACACATTTTTGCCTTGCTTTAGTCTCAACAAAACGGTATCGCAGTCTCGCGAGAGCATAACGTCCTTAACGTCTCCATCTCGAACAGCGGCTTCCAACTTCGCCGGGAACACGAGACTGCACCTTCGTTCCTCGACCGTGTACACAAACTTCTCTTCCTCCTCGATGGGAGTCTGCTTCGCGTTCAGGAGTTCCCGCAAGATGCGCTGCTGCTCGCCCTCGCCCTCCAAGATTGGAAAAACGTAGCGGTAATCCTTGAGCACCACGTGCCTCCTCTTCTCGTCGACGATCAGACCGGCGGTGTAATGGTGTGGCCCGAGGCCCGCGGCGTTCGTCGTGATCTTGCATTTCGACTTGTCCTGGGCGTGCGCGCCCAGCAACACCGGAATGTAATGATGGGTCGGTAGACCGTAGGACTTGCCGGTGATGCGGCAGAATCGCTTTGCGTCCGCCGGACTTATCGGCGGTAACAGCGGGAAATAATTCGGCCTGGGTAGACCCCGGCTTTTACCCGTGATCCTGCAGAAGGACATTGTCTGCCTCTGAGATGATCATTCGACACCAGACCTTGATCAAGTCATCGGTTTAAGTCTTGTCTTCAAAAGCGATTAGTGATCATTCTTCATCGTGTTGAGTAAAATTCTGTGAGATTGCGTAGATGCTTCGGGGTTTCTTTTATATTAATTGATGATGATTTGGGAGCCTATCGTTCTTTTAAAAATCGCGATCATATATGTATACACCTTCTTGAGAGAGCAAGCTCGTGTTTATGACGGAATAAAGATTGAGCTAGACTACTTAAAGATTAATGTTCAATTGTATCGATTACTCTCGCATGAAGTCAATATAGGAACATTATGCCGGCGACGCGAATAAATGAACATTAACTCGGAACTTGGCATCTCGACAACAGGAACCGCAAATTCGCGCATTCGATCATTCGCACGCGTTGCTGTCTCGCCCCCGTTGTACCCCCATCGGGTTTCGTCTAGACATCTTTCGTCGATTCATTTATGCTGCACGTGTCCCACTGCATTTACAATTTCATACACGCGTCTTCCTTCCTTTTCTAAACAAAATGTTTAATTTTGAACACATCACATCGCTTAATTTCTCATAGGCTTATTAAATCGATGGAAGAACTTGATTATGTTTTATTAACAATAAAATTTTAATAGTAATAATAAAAAAATTTAACTTATTATTTAAATATGTATTTTATTTTATTTTTATAGTTTTCTTATTGTTTTATACCGAGAATGATTAATTTTGCTGACATCTATCACAATGCATTTTTATATAACATAATATTTAATTGTACAATTTTTTCTGCATGATTTTTAATTATCGGTCAATGCTTTCTTATAATAAAATAACAAAAATTTATTTTCTTCATTGCATCGAGAAATTTGTTCTACGGTCAAGGTTATAAGTGTGTGTTCAAAATTATTTATTCTCTTCCCACAGCTGTCGTATTTAACCATTTGACATTTCACTTCTCGATTGCTTAATATTCCGCACACGCGTTAACTGTAGATTGACACCACACTAGTTTCGCGCTCTTCCTTGTAATATTTACAAGCTTGAGACAAATATTATTTTTATATTATTACAAGTTACAAATTACAAATCATAGTCCTGTAATTTCTCACTTTATCGATATTCATTAATTCCATGCGCAATTATATCAATGCACACGATTTTACATTGAGTGTTTAAAATAATGGAAAAAATTCAAGATTTTATTTTAAAAAGCTATTAATTAATTTTTCACTATTCACACAGAAATTTTCGTGATTTTTGACAGCAACCAATCTCACGCTTTCATGTGTGAAAATTCTTCAATATTTTTTTACAAATTTCTTTCTATATATTTTCTATATAATTTCTGATGCAATTTTTGATTTATTCTGCTCTTTGTGAAAAATATAAAATTATGTTCTATCGTACGTTTATTCTCGTTATAATATGCATCGAAATCAATCGCGTGATGTCATTCAACTCTCATTCCAGTCTATCGGATATGCTCGTTCCCCGTTATTTTCGTTCGTACACTTGGTCGATTCACCGTTAGACTTGTTGGTACGGAATTGCCGATTAAACAATTTCAATCATTACGATCGGTTACATCGTGCGACTTTTCGCGAGATCCGGTCTCCCGAGAAAAGTGTATCGGCGATACGCGGCGAAAGCGAGACTACTCTCGGCGTACGAAGTGGCTAAGAGCGGTTTGCACAGCGAGTCTCTCTTGGCTCCCACGACCAGAAATAGCCTACCCTTCTTACACTTCTCCAATACATCTTTAGAACGGAGTACACGGACCCGGATCTTCGTCGAATCGTGCGTGTGGCACACACCACGTTTTCGGCATTCGAGAGTTCGCCCGAGGGATTTATTTTTTCATGTCGCTTACGGGGGTTTCCCGACTCGTGAAATTGCATTGGCACCTACATAAGGAACGTATTCGATCGCAAATATTTTTTTTAAACGGCAAATTAAAATCAGTGAGAGTAAAAATACATATAATAGAATAATGTGACTTTTTAGTATAATTATAATAATTAATCGATACTAACAATTTAATTAGTCAATAGTAATATTTCAATGCTCTTCCTAAGAAAGAAAGAAAATATTATATTTTAATAATTAGTAGTTCCTCATTTAAAACAGTAATTAAGAAATAATTTGCTATAGTGTGATTAGTAATCAGTATTAATGCTATAGTGTTTATAATATTAAATTATAATAATCTTCTATCTTCTAAAATTTTCTGACTTACAAGAAATAGATTTCTCAGTTCAGTTTACTTTATACGTAATTATGTAATTTTTAATAGTAATTTTTAATTGGTCGCACTTTCAAAGAACTAGAAAAAGTTTTTTTAAATTGGGATACTTATGTGAGAATAAATGTTATTCTTTCAGAAATATACACAACATTAATTTTACCGAGCAATAAATAATTTCGGGGAATAAATAACTTGACATGATGATTGAGAGAAAGAGAAATTCAATTATCCGTGCGATGCATATCAAGTTGCATAATTGATTGCTCGACATATCTACATCTGCAATGTGCCGAATATGCGATTACGTTATTGAAATTAGAAATGATGAACAAGACATGTATTACTTTTGGCTAGCTAATGACGGGCGATTATTTATTCGTATATTTCTGGTCGGGTTATATACATATTTCATCGTGAAGCAATAATAATGGAGAATACAAACATTAATCGGGCATCACAAAATATCTATAGCCGGTTAAATTATACAATAACATTTGCATCTCGTCTAAAAGGAGTAACTTTACTATTCTCATAAAAGAGTGAATCAGACAGAAATGTATGATTAGCTGAGGCGTTTAAATTTATCAATGTATCGATACTTTTAGATATTATTAGATATACCACAAACATTCAATATTAATATTAATGTTGCAAACGATAATTACAAAAATAAGATCTATATAAATAAACACTGAATACAAATTTATATGCAATAATTGTACTATAAAAATATAAGAGAATAAATTTCTCTTGAATAATACATAATACTTTATTTGTTACTACTCTATAGTTAAGAAACTTTACAGCTGATTATTTGGAGAATATTATTTCTTTTATTTTTCTAATATAATTCAAACATCTTTTTATATCTGTAATATTATATAAAAAAATTAATGGCTTGGTTTTTAAATTAATGTAAGAACTGTATCTGATAATCTTGATGCAATAAGAATTAATGACATCGGTATTATAATCGGAGCAAAGTCTGAATTTAAACAAAGCACCAACTCTGGGCAATAAATCTTAAGCTCCACTGACACAATAATGATTTAAAAAGAGACGGTCTGCCCCGAATGGTCCTCTCAAAACAGGTGCGCGGACCTGCATTGTTGGCAATATCGAGTAGAATGGGTGCGATAAAGCTTCACAATGAAAAACGATGGGAATGAGCGATACGGGACGTTGTTTAAACTTAAACGTTTACTCGGTGCCAATTCGCTAGTGAACGAGATGAAAAATCTGAGCGCAAGTATATAAGTACCGGCATCTAAGAACGCGATGGCAAATATTTTTACACGCGCAAAGCGTGCAATTTTCCGCGCGCGGCTTTAACTGACCGAGGCGCACATCAACATTTTGTTCCGCAGTCGTTCGCCGTGATTTACGACGACTGTTAGCTCCTCGCAAAGAGCAGCCTGCCAAGTGAACGATGGTGAGACTGATATTGATTTATATAATAAAATGCTTTATCGTGCGGAGGCGCGAACGAAAAAAGAGACAAAAAATATGATAATTTATCCATGAGAAATTTAAATAAATATATTGATAATAATTTTTCTCTCCACCAAACAATATTTTTTAAGATGTATTGAATTGTAGAAAATATGATTGCAGAAGTAAACGGTTAAATTGCCAAAAAAAAGATCCTATATATAAATCGATTGTTTTATATTGTCGTGTTCTTTCTTTTTCTTTGGGACAAAGATTTCGAGGGATTTGAACGAGGCGCCAGACGCATGCATTTCGCAGGCAAAATTTGCGATCGCTCGTAATAACACACTGACGACCGATAAACGCATCTGGTCGTTGTTGAAGCTACGTGGCGCGAAAAGTGGACAAAAATAGACCCGGGAATAAAAACCAACCACCAACGCGCCGGGCAATAGCACCCATCGAATAAACCCCTCGGACTTTGTCCCCGGTCCGCATTAAAAATAACTCAACTCCTCATTTGCATAAACGTTTCGGCAAAACAATGGGATAAGATAGAACAGGATTAGAATAACAATAAATGCGTAGGTTACAAAAAGCTTTGTCGGATAACAGACGTGTGCGCGAATAAAAATAAATTCTATTCCTCGCTTCTATCTTATCCATAAACACTCTCTTCAAAGGGGTGACAAATATATATGATGAGTAATAATACATAATTTTACATTATTTTTATCACATCATATATTTATAAAATGACTCATTATCAATAAAGAAGAGAATTGAAATAAAATAAGTAATGTTCCCTTTTTCATATTTTTGCAATTTTTTAAAAAATAGGAGCATTAAAAATTTTAATTATCCTCTGAAGTAAAGAATAATTCGGCTAAATTATCTGACATGTAATATAGTGTATCGTTTTTTTTTCCTGAATCTCGATGACACGACAAATTTGTGTCTCAGTTCGTTTTGTATCAATTATCTGTCAAATAAGTCCCGATAATTGCGACCCCTTATTACGTCTTATATCGCGCTAGACGTAGACGACATATTAAGATCAGGCTCCATCTCTAATTACACGCGATGTTTCCAGAACAGACATCGCGCGCAGACAATTAATTAAGCGATGCCGGTTAGATCTGAAGGACGAAGTGTCCAGAAGCAGCCGCGGTGTGCAATATGCATCGCGAGAACGAAGCGTTATTCCGAGAAACATGAAATGCGCCGACAGAACACATCCCTCGCATGTATCATGCGATGAAGAGAACGGGTTAAAAAGATCGCACGCATACAGACTGAGGGATGAGAGCAAAAAGAAAGACACCGGCGTGCGAAGACGAAAGCTCGTGTATCGCGAGAGTGCTCGAAATGGGAGTGTGTATATAAATTTCGGCTTCTGGCAGCAAACCAGGTATTTCATCTACTTCTGTCATGTATCCCGTCTCCCCAATTTCCCCTCAATTATAGTGGTCCCCGGATTTTTCCAACGGACCGAGACGTATAAAAAAAAATGAATTCTGCCCTTGTCAAGGACGCATCGAACGTGTAAGTTAAATTCGAGCTCTCGCAGAGAGCTTAAAGAAAGCTCCAAGTATATGTTCTTGTAAATTCTCTTTATAGCACAACTTGAAAAAATGTACTTTATATATTTTTATTTCTTTTTCTTCTTGTAAAATGTGTTTATTTAAAATAAAGCACAGAACTTTCTGGGAGTTCTTTCTTTTTGATAAATAATTTTAATACTCACCCTGCTCCTTATATGTACGACACTTTCGGTTACTTCTCGTTGAATTGTCGTTCCACCGGTAATGGTATGGGATAATTCCAACGAATATTCTGTATAAACAATAACAAATGAAAATATAAAGATCAATATATCAATATTCTTTCGTGATT